TAAACCCTGCTTTAACTCTTTAAAAATATTGTTAATGCTTATTCTATCACACCTTTTGATGGTAAAGTTCAAGTGGACCATAAAGAATAAATATTTCTTTGATTTGTTAGTAGGTTTGTAGATTTTCTTAGAACCTTCATCTACACTCTGGCATCTCCCAATAAACCATCCTGATTTGTAATAAGTAACGTAATATTTTTCGACCTCAATTTTCTCTTCTTCATTTTCTCAGATATAAAATTCAAAGATTCGTTGCTCGTATCTTATTTGGACCCGATAGACATTTTATCATCATCGTTTGCTTCATTTTCTTTATTACCCATTCTTCTTCTCTGTTGTTTTTGTATCGTTCTTTTCTTATTATTGCTTTTTTCTTTTCTGATTCCGAGTCTGTTTCTCTCACTCTTCTTATGCGATCTGTAGAGAGTCTTCCATTTTTTCTATGAAAATCCAACACATCGTAGACTTTTTATTATAGCTTTTGTTTGTCATTTTGTAAGGTGGTAGTTAGAAATGCGGATTTTGACCCGTAATCTTTTAAATGTAAATCCTTCCAGTTCCAGAAATTTGCATTGCTCAGTTCACTGACAAGTTCGGTTTCAGAGTCGATTTCTTCGTATTGTACGGTAGGTTAAAAAACTGAAATTTTTTTTCACCAAAACTAAATTAATTCTAATTAGGAATTACACAATTAATTATATGTTACCTTGTGACATTAAAATAAAAAAAATAAATAAACGCAATAGACAAACATGAGCAAAAATTAAAACAAGTATAAATTGTGAACAACTCTTGTGCAGATAAAGCGCATTTTTTAACCGAAATAGCTTTTGTTTTGACATCACCAATGGAAATATTTCTTGAAGACGTCTCAATCACCCTTTGTGAGTACTCTCTTCCGACAATCCGTTCTTGAGGTATAAGGGAATATACCCGATCACCGTAAGAGGTCGAGGAGGAGGGCTATGGTTGGTAGAAATTAATTCCTTTCGTTGATACCTTTCATTAGAGTACAATGAAATAAAATTAATTTTTTAACCCCCCATATGCAAAATCTGAGACCAATTGGTTGCCGTATGTAAAAGTTATGCACGTTTTACTTTCAAAAACAAGGATGCGAATTTTGCGATTTGGGGCTTTGAGCACTTTTTAAAAGATCGTTGAACAATTGTTTTTGTTAAATATTTGCTTTGAACTAGGAAGCTGCTTTGTCAAAAATTTGCAAACTGGTTTTTTGTTCATTTCCATTTCAGTTACGATGTTTGATGAGAAACAGTTACTCAGGATGACATCATATCACTTTTCGGAAGAATAAAATTGTATCCGTAGATAATTTGCAACAGTACGCTACGAAGGTCGTCCATTCTTATCTACTGGTGACACCATTTTGCGTAAAATTATCCCGTAACTTAATACTTAATATAAAATTAGTAAACAGTCCTACGACACCTTTCAATGAAGAAACATAAACATTAAAATTTGACGGTGGTTTTCATTGGTTAGTGAATACATTTGTCCATATCCTCAAAACTGTAAACCTTAATGTCATTTTGTCAAGAGCTTTTATTTGAAATTTAGCATTTTCAAAATTAAGATATTGGCCCGTATGAATAAAAGTAAGCAAATGCTTACACTTGCAAAATTCAAAGTAAATACTCGTAACTGCCCCTACATACTGGTCTTTTTAGCATGGTTTAGCAGCGCTGCACTGCGTCCTGTCCTTCTGCTTAGAAGCGCTGCTAAGTCGCCCAGTGCGAAGGAGCACTTACGAGTATTTACTTTGAATTTTGCAAGTATAAGCATTTGCTTACTTTTATTCATACGGGCCATTGAAGATATAGATCATTTTGAAGATTTATTTTAAATATTTTAAAGTTTTTTTCTTAGTTATCATGATAATTTCCTCGATAATTTCTTTGCGAGTTAGGTGGGCTTAGTGATTACAATTTTTTCAATATATAACAGGTTAACTCGAATATCATTTTATTTACACAGATGCATGCTATTTAAGATTTCTTATTTTATAGCGTATGTTAAAATGACATTTTAATAGGTTTCAATGAGTATAGGCTAAGTCGCTCTTTAACCGCGAGATAAGTAGATAAAGTGAAACAGATGATCGTGCATTCTAATGACATCTGTCATTCTTATTCAAACTGAATGCGGAGCACGATATAACATGACGTTCAGAGCATATGACAATGCTGTTTCTACGGAAACAACCGTGACCGCAAAACCTAAGCTTGCTATTTTTGACGTCGAAATTCAATTCAGAATTGTCAGAAGCTTTACAATGATATATATGGTTTCTGCTATAGAATAAAGTTTTGTTATTTATTTATTTATTTTTATTAACTGGTTTTTATCCTTCATGGTACTCCAATGAAAGGAATTAATTTTTACCAACCATACTCCTCATTGACCCCTTATCGTGATCGAATATATTCTCTTATATCTCCAAAACGGATTGTCGGAAGAGGGTATTCACAAAAGGCAAGTGGAAAGTATCCGTGGTACCCGCCACAAATGGAAGCGTACATATGCCTATGAAGTTGGAGCCGCCCTCTCCACTATCCCATAATAATCCACATTTATATTTATATTTATTTTTTAAGTTATTTTTATAATATTATATGAAACATATCTATTTTTTTTTAGATTTAATTAATTTTTAATAAGACACTTAAATTGAAAAATGGCTGGTGGCTGGTGGCTCTGATTATAGCTATGCTTATTCTAGCACGTAGCCAACCCATTACTATAGATAGGGGTCTGGTCCATCGATCAGCAAGGGCCTCAGCCAGGTGTCTTATAAAAGATGTCAGTTGTGGGGCAAAAACATATATCTATTGATGCGCTTTATCTGCAAAAGAGTTGTGAACGATTTATAATTGTATCGTTTTGTATTTATTGTATGTTCTGTCCAATTAAAGACAATTTTGGATTATTATTGTTTTTATTACATTTCATAAAACTATGTTATTTCATTTGGTGCCTCTAGTTTAATTAATAATTAACCTTAGAAAAAATGTACAAAGGAAAAAATTGTAGATAATTGTGTCAATAAAAGGAAAACTGGCAAATATTTTCTGAAGCTACCAAAGCTCTTATGTTTTGAAGTTGATGCAGAATAAATATACTAAATTCGTATTTATTTCTTTTTCATTATAATTGGTATGTTACGGCAGTGTCCAGTGACCAGTCCTATGTATGACCTTAGTTCACTTCTGCTGAGTGCTAGCAACGAGCTGGTTTTAGTGTCCTGGAAACTGATCACTTTCTTGGATTGTCATAGACGTTTCCATTTTTTCCTGAGCTGGTTTCTTATCACTCCTCCAGCTAGACTTGCTGGTGCTCCACAGTACAGTTCCGCCTCAATTTGGGGATGTTTGGTGTCGATGGACAGATTCGTGGTCCTCCAAAATTATTGGTTTCTATAACAGGATCGAGGATCAGGTGGTCCTGAATAATTACTCACCGAGTCGTTTGAATTTATTATAGCAATTGTCTTTCATGCCTTAATCTAAGCATAACCTACGCACCACGCGCTTACATAAATCGCTATTTTGCTGTTACTTTTTTATTGGTTACCCGAACGCTGTTTTGAGTTTTCCGACATTTAGGTGTGTACCTACTAAGCATACCTAGACCTACCCACCACCTACTTGCACCACCTCTACAACTAAACCCGCGATGGCATCTCCATCTTTTGGGCAAGTTTATATTAGCTTTATATGCCATTTTGTGTTACCCGGTAAGTGTGAAGTCGAATGTGGTGAGGTAATATCCACTTCTTCTTCTTCGTCGAGTGAGCTCTGAAGGATTGAAATGACATGCGGTTCAGAACTAAAATTTTAGACTCATTTCTAGTCTCTTACAACTGCAGTAAACCTTTTACAACGAACCTTGATCAGCACATTTCTCTAAAATATTTGAACTTATGTTCATGAAAGGGTGTTCCTAACTATGATGTAAATACGGAAGGCGCTAATTTTTAGCGCATTTTCCAACAAAGTTGGGTGCGCTATTGCAGCCACTTTCCCTGTTCGTCCGAGGCCTGTAGGGGTAGTTATCCTACAGTTTTCAATATATTTAGTTCGTGCTTTTTCTTCTTCTTTTTTAATTCGGTAGCTTATAACTCTGACAGCTGAGCCAAGAAAAATCTTGACGGCGCAATACAACTTTCTTATTTATTAACATATTTTGTTGAAATTTTAAACACTTCTAGCAAACATGTCGCATATAGTAAATCAGATGTGTGCTTAAGTGCAATGCAAGGCAAATGTAAATTCTGGGAGCACCAGCCCCCCTGCGGCCTCGCGTTTGGGAGCGCCTCCCTCCCCCATGCGACACTATGGGGAGTGAGGTACAATCAAGGGTAGAATAATTTTACATATAAAAGACGCTAACCGTACATGACGTTTATTTTAATCCCCTCATGACCAACATACGTGACGGAAGAAGACTGTTTGTCTGGTGAATGTGGTCACTATTTATGTTAATTAAAATTCTTGCACACATTAGGAAGTGCGATAGTCAATACCATTCATACGACATTTAATAGGAAATTTAAGTTGACGTAATACTGTTAATATTAGTAACGCTAAAGCAAACCATACCTACTAAAACCTCATTTCCAGATTAAGAAATTTCTCGCCACATCGATTTTTTTCTACAAAGTGGTACACTAAAAATCCACTTTATGGTGAAATATTTGTGTAATAAAGTTGAATTTGGAAAGGAAAAAGAACTGGATATTCTGCAGTGATTGCTGGTTTTTTCCATAATTGTAATTTCATTATTTATTTACACATTTTAGTTGATTTTGGTTATCGCCATAGACTTTTGCAACGGCACAATTTTCCTTTATAGATAGTCATAATCTAACGGAATTGTGATTAGTTAGGTTAAAAAATTCATGAATTTGCATAAACGTGAAGGCCACGGAAGTTTATTATTCTCTTCTATTTTATAATACTTATCTGTTCTTATTGTTTCAGTTAAACTCGGCCATCATTACCTTCAGCAGCTTTGGTGAGTTTATTTTTTCAGTATTGTAAATATTGGTTGTAGATTAGGTGCATTGTGCGTATTAGCGTATTACCGAGGTCGTACCAAAGAAATAGAAGGAAGGACACGTACTTCCTAAAAATTTATTGATTGCAACGATATAGTCTCATTCCTTAAAAAAACAGACACTTGCAAAATTCCTAAAAAAAACACGGATTCCGCCTTCATAAAACCACACGTGAGTCGTGATGGCAGAATGTAAATTAAATTAGCAATGAAATTTTAAAAATAGAGTGGCTTGCCCAAAAACCGATTTACGTTGGAGGGGTTATCGAGTAAATCTTCAATTTTTGCAATTCAGAACGTCTAACATCATGATTTTTGCATAAAAAAACCATGATTTAACTGAATTTAGACTAGGAAAGTCAATACTCGCCTCGCAATTCAGGCGAATAAATAATGGTTGGTAATAGAGTGAATAAAGTCCTTGGGGAGCGTTGTATTTTCTTCTCGACAATTAAAGCATAATGCTTATGAATACAGCATAATTGTTGGTTTGGTTTCTTCTGTGCAGAAGTACATAATAAAATACCCTACCGGCCTGCTTTGTAACAAAAAATATTTCGTATAGAAAAGCTCGCCTTTTGGGCCATGAGACGCCTCTCTGTTTAATTAACTTCAAAACAAAAGAAGTTATTTATGAAAAATCAGCACCCGCTTCCCTCGCACAATGTTCAGCCACCTCTTTCGAATCTGCCAATGCGAACGATAAACACGTTGCGGAATTGGTATTTCCCGGATATCGGTTGGCCTAGTTATTGAAGAATCGACCCGAACGATTGTGCGCTTAAATCAGAGTTGCAAAATTTTGAAATGCTTTTTCGGCAACGTAGGCAGTGGTGGTATCTGAGTTGTATTAAAAATACGGTAGAACAGTGACATCAAAGAGGGACCCAGGTGCTCGCCCAGGTGCCTACAACGAAGGGAGACCGAACTTCCACAAATCTCAAAGAGTGCAACACATTATCCTTGCAAGAACTTCAATCAGACTGTACGACCGCTATGGGACACTCAAAGGCAAAATGCCACCATACATATTAAAAAAATATTTGTTCAGGTTCAGATTCACCTGGAATTGACACGTTTAGACTATCTTCTGATATTCAAATCCAGGATGACATCTTAGGGAGGGAAAATGTTAGTAAGTGATGGTTGGGTATTGTATTTGGGGGGGGGGGGGCGTAATTTGTAAATTATTCTGCCGTGTTTACATTCAGAAAGTACAGTGTTTTGAATTTGTAATCTTTTCTAAAATGCAGATGTCTAACCAAGAAGGATTTAATATGCTAGCGGCGATGGTTCGTGGTCGATTCGGATAACGCAAATAGAAGATGTGGGCAGCGATGGTCGCATTTTGAAAATAATCAAAATATATCGCCAGCATATTAAATGCTTCTTGGATGAAATCGGTATTTTTGAAAAGATTACAAATTCAAAAAACTGCACTTTCTGAATATAAACATAGAATAATTTACAAATTACGGCTGTTATTATTTTATAATGCATCGCGTTTCATTTGTTTAACTTTCCAAGTCCTATCTAAAAGTGTAGGGTGTTTTTCAAAACAATCTTTCGCGCCATCGACAAATACTGGAAATACGTCAAATAAGATACAATTTAAGCATTTTTATTAATTAATTAATCTCATTTTCCCAATATTTGAGGTTAGGAACGAGATTTTGAAAAACGGTTTTCACTGGTCCCTTGGGATGTTATTTTGCTACTTTTTCATAAAGAAAAAGTCATATCATTCCATTTGATTTTTTTAGGATTTTGGTGTGAAAACTAGCCCCCTGGCGGAGAAAGATTCAACTAAATTAACTATATTTTGGTTGATTCTCATTGCCCAAGGAATGCTCTTTTCAACTATACCAAATTTGTTAAAATCGGTCAAACCGTTAAGAAGTTAAAGAAGGTTATTGCAAAAACAATTGATTGCCCCACACCATCTTTGTTTTTGAAATAAAAATGTAAAAATTTTTTTTGTTTATTATGCGAAATTTAAAGAAAATGCAATTTTAAAATTTAAGATGGCAGTTACGCCCTCTGGTGGTCATTTTTAGAACTTGAAAATATTTTCCAGCGATTCTTCATGACCGATTTACCCAATATTTTTTTTTATCCCTAAGTCATATGACGAACGGTTCTCGAGATATGGCCGAGGAACAGTTTTATTGGATCACCCGGTGCATACAATGAGTAATCGATCGTATATGTATACTTTACGCTTCAAGTATATCTATCTACTTTGAAAAGGTATATTTTATCCTATGGCCAATTCTGATTGTTTCAGTTTTTGAATGTCTTCATTTTCCATCAGTCTTAAAAGATGTTAATATGTGGGGAAACAACTTCAATGTCATTCTTGTTATACATTTCTTGAACCACACAAATATATGTGTAACGGGCGATCAAAAATGAGTTGCTTTCGAGTCGCCTTTGGAAGTTCAAGGTATGTACGATTTCCCATGTAAACAAAAATTCCAAAGGTGATTCAACAGCAACTTATTTTTGATCGCATTGTATAAGGTCATTTGCCTTTTACCTTTCAAAAACTTTGCCAGTACAAAATCTCCCACTTTAATGTCACTAACGGTTTAATTCCTTTCTTTGGATTTTGAATTAACTTCTTGCTGATTTTGAGACCTAGATCCATCTTTGGCTTCCCCCTTTTCAGACGAACCTTTAGAGTATATTGTAATTTTTGATTTTTAGTTAGTTTTATTATCCTACTCTTCATCTCTTGTTTTTTTTCCACGCGACTTGTAATATAATGCAATTCTTGGAAAAGAATATGACATAGCGGCAGGAGCTACAGGCATTCCTTTTGCCACCGCTGCTAGAGTTTCCGTCATCTGCTCCCCCCCCCCTCCAATTATAGAAGAAAAAATTTCGTTTTTGAAATGGATTGCACCTGTTTGCAAAAAATTGCATTTTATTTTCGCGCAGCCGGTTTCAAAATCACGATAGAATCAAATTTGGGGGGAGTAGTAGGTTTGATTGTTCGACTGCTGTAAATAATCTTCATTTTCGACAGTGACGCGAATGAAAAAAGCTAGACATCTCGCCCAAGCATGGCTGATTCTCATTATTATTACTATTATCATTTTTTTGTTACATTATCGACTTCTGAGGTCATTAGCCACAAAAGTAAATCCACTTAAGTAGTCACTATTACTGTAGTTATCACACTTTCAAAAACAGATTTATGTCTTTCATATAGCCCAGTATTTTCCTGATATTGTTGGTTTCGTTAAGTTCAAGTGTATTTTGGGTAAATATAGTTTCCATGGAGGTACCCCTTCGACAGTTAAAGGAAATAACTCCATATTAAGCGGCATACCAAGATCTTCTATTGATTCTCTGTATCTAATGCCGGTAGGGAGTGATATCGTTTGTCGATTCTGGTACCAGTTGTATGACTCATCAATAAACATTAACTGGTAGTTAGGATGATAACTTTGAACTTTCATTTTTTACTCCTGGTATACATTTATACAACATAGGGCTTCAACGGACGTGGTTCTAGAATCTCCTGTACATAAACTTAATCCTTGCTGTATGCTCTCAAGTTTCCTCAGCCAAGATTTTCTTGCTTCCGAATAAACACTCTCGCCTCCCCTATGGCAGACAGTTTTCGAGCACAATTGAAAGCCACGGATGCGTCTCGTGGAAATCAATCAATTTCTCTTTGTGAGCACCCTTTTCGGACACTCCCTTTTCAGTCGCTTTGTGAAAAAATAAACTATCAGTAAAATTGGGAGGCAGTTATGAATGTGACCCCCCTGTGCATATCGCTCGTACGTTTTTTCAAGAAGCTTTCTTTTGATCATATAAAGTTTCTAAAGCATTGTGAGATAAACTCGATGTTGAAAACCAATCTGACCTACAGTCTTTTGTTTTTGAGTTATGGGCAAAATTAACCTATACCTTCTTTTTTTTTTAGTTATCGGCTATGTGTCTATTACAAAAGTTTCTTTGTAATGATTGTTGCATAATCTGCCGTTTTTAAACTAAGTACGGAAAATTCAAAAATTTTGTACAATTTTTTGTTTTTTTTTGATCATTTGAACCTTTTTTGATTTTAAAATTTTATTTAATCATTTTGAATTTTTTGAATCATTTGAATCTTTTTAATATCATGCTTTGTATGCTATAGTTTTGAAAAGAACTAAATATGCTGTCTGTTTAAATTAAAATATACAGGAACAGGCTGTTCAAAATGATGACTTTTACGTGACCCCGTATGTTTATTTTGAAAACGATTGATTATGCAATAATCATTTGTAATAAACATATTTCCGATAATAAACAATCAAAAAATGCCTATAACTAAAAAACAAGACATCGTAGGTCCGTTTGGTTTTCAACATCGAGTTTATCTCAAAAAAATCCATCGAGACTGCGGGGTAAATTTTTTTTCTATCACTTATGGTTGAACAGTTGCCCCATAGTAAAGACCAAATTTGAACACCCTGACTAGAGAAAATAATTTATACACAATCGTGAATGTCAAGCACCTTTCTGTATCTTTCATCATTGATGAGCATGCTTATTGCGCCAAATTAAGCAACTTTCAAGAGCGGAGAAAGTGGATTCCAAGACTTGTCGCCTTTCAATTTTGAAATATAACCCTAGCTAAAATGGCACTTCGTCAAAATGATTTCTAAAATGTACAAAAAAAAGGAGAAAAAAAAACAATTAGGGAAAAAGAACGTTTGATACGTTTTATACTAAAAATTGAAGTCCTTCATAATGAGGTATCACATTACCCTTTTTCATTAAAAAAATTCAAAATTTGTTTCACTGTATAAGATACAATTCCAAATCATTGGCTTAACGGAATTGGGAGATTATTGCCTACAACTGTTTCCAGCAAGGTGTCTTGGTTTCCTGGTTAATTCCTAACAATCCGGTGTATTCAGTGGTTAAAACATGACTGATCTCGTAACTGTCAATACAATATAGCATCATTGTGTGATATTTGTAAAAACCAATGTTTCATCTACATCTCATCCATTATCGAATAATGTATGGTTAAATAAAAAAATAAAACTTTTGCTTGAGTGTCATATAATTCACAATGGAGTTTTTCCATAGAAAAATAAAAAACCTATCCATAATTACTCACATTTTAATTTTTGAAAAACAAACATTTTAAAAAATAAACATAATTCACTTTCCACCGTATTATTTTCGAGATGCGATTAGCGAGACGATAATATTCGTAGACCGAAATGAATGTCTTATTTTTGTTTTTGAAGCGTACAAATTACGCGAGGCATTTTTTTAAAATGCCGAATCTTCTTATCCGCCCTCACTTAAACCTGAATGCAAAAAGTCGCAAATATGGGCTGTAAATTAAATTAAAGTTTATGGAAGTATCCAGTTTGTAATGGATATTTCGGAAAACATTTAAGTGTCGCGACAGTTTGGCGCCGTTTTTCCCGCATTGCTATTGGCGCACAACTTTGGCCCCGCCCGGAAAATATCCCCTCCAAGTTTAATCGTCCAATAGGATTGCGGAGTTTAGTATATGGGGTTTTGAGGGTTGATCGTAGAATTTACCCACAGGAATGTGATAGCTTAGCTCATTCTGGGGTTTGAATTCGTGGTGTTCGGTTGCTCGTTGTTTTATTGCGGCGTTTAACTCCTCTTATCCTTTACCTATGTAACTAAATCCTTCTGAGTCTTCATTTTTAGTTTTCGCCAGTTTTAGTTAAGTTATTCAAAAAATGTTGTCGTCAGGAAGAATTGTGTAAGTTTGTTTAATATTATTAATTTTCTTCATCGTCATTTATGTCTTTTAATGCATTGCTGAGTTACTTTAAATTGGTATTTTGCGGCATGCATTTATTTTTTCTATGTATATGTATCAAATTAAGCTACTTACTTTATAACCTCAAATAAAGCAAATTCAATCGGGGAAAACTCCCTCGCGGTGTACGTACAATGCACCCTTTTTTTTCGCATACGTTGCACATGTTTTGATCTTTTGAAATATGTGAACACAATTTTCTATAGTTCATTTATTGGCACGTGCTCAAGGTATCGATTGTCATCTCAACGACGCCAAGACATAAGCGACGCCGGCTAGTCGGACGTTATGGTTGCTCGGCAACGCAACCTCCCCACTTTTTAGCGTTGCGACGTCGCATCCCTACCGTACATGATTCAATTATGTGACATGTTCTACTTCAGTTTATTGACTTATTCCTTAGTCAGTGTTAAGATTGATTGATTTTACATTAATCTGACAATCTTTTAATTAATTTCTTTGGTACGCTCTCGGTGGGTATGTTACGGTATTTTAGTTCGATAAGTTAGCTGCATGGGACGTCGACGTCGGGTCTTCCCGTAAACACGTTAGATTCGCATCCCCACCAAAATTTAGGAATTTTTAGATCTGTACAGAAGTAGCGCAGAAATACTGAATTATTAGGTCATTAGTGTCGTAATGGAATTACCGCCTACTTTTCAAAGAACTGTTTTTGTTGTTTATTACCCTGACGTTCGAATCCAGGAAACTCTTTTATTAAGGGCCAGTTTAATTAGTAATTTTGAAAAATAATAATATAAAGCATCACTGAAAACGTAATACTTGGTTTGTTTATTTCAGTTCAAATTCCCATCCCTTAGAAATATGGCTCAAATATCGCTACGAATTAATATCATCGAAGGGAATGTTACCAAAACTATGGTATTTGACCCTTCGACTACCGTATACGATGCTTGCAGAATCATACGAGAGAAGATCAGCGAGGCTAATCTGGGTCAACGTAAGTCGCGTTTGGTGGTCATGGTGGTGAATTTTAACTTTGAAATTTTAGCCAAAGACTATGGACTGTTTCTTACCGATGACGACAACAAAACGGGGGTATGGCTGGAACCGGGAAGACACCTAGAATACTACATCCTTCGCAATGGCGATACGTTAGAATATAGAAAAAAAACGAGAATACTGAGAGTGAAAATGCTTGACGGTACCATTTCTCTTCCCTTACATCCTGCCCATCTGACACTTTTTCGTTTTAGGTTCCATCAAAAGTGTGATGGTGGACGATTCTCAGATTGTCGCGAATTTAATGGTCGTGATATGCACCAAAATCGGAATCACGAACCACGACGAGTACTCGTTAGTATTAGAAGACCAGGAAAATCAGGAAAATATCGAAAACAAAAACTACGGTACGCTTACACTCAAACGTAAAAAAGAGGAGAGAGAGCGAGATGCGAAGATGGATCAGTTGAGGAAGAAACTGAAAACCGACGATGAAGTCAATTGGGTCGATCCCTCGAAAACGTTAAGAGAGCAGGGGATTGATGAGAATGAGACCGTTATCTTGAGGCGAAAGTTTTTCTTCTCGGATCAGAATATCGACTCCCGCGATCCGGTACAGCTCAATCTGTTATACGTGCAGGCGAGAGATGCAATTTTGGATGGGACGCATCCGGTTACTCAAGAAAAAGCGTGTGAGTTTGCCGGAATTCAGTGCCAAATCCAGTTTGGCGATCACGTCGAATCGAAACACAAAGCCGGATTTTTAGAGTAAGTACAAAAGCAATTTCTTTAAGCTGGAGTTACTGCCATGAAATGTTGAACTTCCAATTTTTACATATTTTTTGCATTACCATCAAAATGCAAAAAAATATGTTTCTCTAAAATATTCCCGACAATGCGCAACGTAGAAAGTGTTGGGCCAATGTTTACTCAGTTACAAAAAAAACATTCAAGAAAATAAAAACGGAAAGTAACTATTTTCTATCTTGTTCAAATTGTTTGCTTGTTTTTGCAAATGCTTTGAAATCCGATGGTTTCATAGAACACAGGTAACTTGTACAGGGTGGTCAATTAAGAATACGAGGTACTGTATCTGAGAATCTATCCATCGTAGAGGCTTGCGGTAAAAAAATTTATTACTAAAACGGCCACGAGCAAAACCTGGAAAATATTTTTAAGTTTCTGAAATGGCCGCTAGGGGGCGTAACTGCAATCTGGAATCTAAAAAAGTGATGTTTCTGTGAATTCCGCTATATTAACCTAACAAAAAAATGTCCGGTCTTTGAAGTTGACGATAATCTGAACAATTTTTATTTGACAATTTTTCCTGTATCTCTAAAAATGAAGTGGTGGGGAGTATTCAAAGGTTTCTGTAAAGAACACCCTGTATCTTCGAAACGGCTGAGCCGATTTATACAAAGTCGGGTTAGTTCAAAAGGGCTACTCTTCACCTACAAATATTATACTATTTGAAGTTTTGTTAGTTTCACATATCACCGCTTGAGGGCTTTTTTCGACATTCCGACAGAAATGGTTAATTTTCTCAAAAAAATTAAATGCATTGGTCCGATTTTTTTCTCATGAAAAAGTTGCTAAATGATGCCTAAACAAGTTCGCGGAAATAGCATCTCTATATCTTGAGATATATGTATATATTTTTTTTTATATCGTGATGGCCAGCATTTCGAGCATTTACGGCGGCATTAAAAGCTACCTTTTTTAAATCGATCCACCTTAGGGCCACAAATTATATAATAAAAATAATTCCGGAAAAATTTGCTTAAAAAAATAAAATTTGGAGGGTATAAAAATTTCTTTTTTTTTAAATTTTAGGTTAGGAACAAGATATCGAGATGCGGTTTTCGCGAGATTGTTTAGGCATCATTTAGCTACTTTTTCATGAAAAAAAATCGAGCCAACGCATTTAATTTTTTTCAGAAAATTAACCATTTCTGTCGGAATGTCTAAACAAGCCCTCAAGCGGCGATATGTGAAACTAACAAAACTTCATATATTATAATATTTGTAGCCGAAGAATAACTCTTTTCAATTAACCAGAGTTTGTTAAACTCGACTCAATCGTTTCGAATATACAGGGTGTTCTTTACGGAAACCTTTGAATACCCCCACTACTTCATTTTTAGAGATACAGGAAAAATTGTCAAACAAAAAAAGGTTCAGATTATCGTCAACTTCAAAGACCGGATATTTTTTTGTTAGGTCAATATAGCGGAATTCACAGAAAAATAACTTTTTTAGATTCTAGATTGCAGGTACGCCCCCTAGCGGCCATTGCAGAAACATTTTGATCGCGATAGAATTTTTTTTAAAGGTGGGGAGTATATGAATAAAGTGAATATAAGCAAAGAGTATACGTTATATACTGTTTGATATAACATTGGTTTTTAGAAAAATATCTTTAAGATCAAAAAGGACATACACAAAAACGTAGGTAAATACTTTGGTTCTAGATTTCCGTGTCCTATGATAATTAATTAATGAAATATTTGTTTTGGTCCCTTCTACCATATAATTTTTTTTCATAGTGATACGTTACACATTGTATTTATTGTTATGTAATCAAATATCAAAATTTAAAAAAAAGTCTATCGGGATTTTTAAAATATATAGAAATAGTGTAGAAGTTCTGTCCCCAAGTTCCTAAAATGTTTACCTGTATTTTAATTAAAATTGCGACTATTGAAGATAGAGAGTGATGAACAAAAGATCAAAATTCCGTATAGAACATTTGGATTCGGTTAGAGATTAAAAACCAACTGATAGCCGATTTAAAAAAATTGCAAAGGCGATGGTAAAATGTTTAATACGAGTACGAAAGGTTCAGTTTAAAAGAAAATGCTCAAAATATCAAAATAAAATTTAAGATTACCTACTGTCATTAATATAGTGGGTGACCCTCGTTAATCATGTAAAAATCCATTTAAAAAATGAACATTTTGGCAATAATTGCAATCAGCATTTTTGAGTTTCTCATATGGAATTGAACAGAGTCTGACCATTGCCAGGTATGATGTTCTTAAAAAAGCCATATGGTATAATATGTATTTGTCTTACAATTCGTCTGCGCCATTAAATAATTGTATTATTTTAGAATAATTTGGTAATTACGATCTGTTAAAGCAGGGGTTCTCAACCTTTCAGCCTCTGAGCCCCCCTTCATACCTTGGTATTTAGAGTTATATATGATCAATTTACTTACATTATGTTTGTGTAAAATGACTTTGATAGCCTAGCGCTAGACATACTCTGGTAAGGAATATAAAATTATATTTGTCCAAATATAAATTTTAATTACACAAAATAACAAAAAAATCACCGAAAAAATCACAACAAAATATCAATAATGTATCCAGAAAAATGTTCGTTACTTTAGTAGTACTAGTGTGAGGACAGGCACTGTTTCTGTTTTTTGTATGTTTGGTTGTAATTTTGGCATGGAACAGCGCAGGTCACTTTGCACATCTAGTCTGGCTCGATATTTAGATTTTATATAAGCCAGGGTTGAAAATCCTGACTCGCATAGATAAGTTGATGAAAATTGTACAAATAGGCCCCGATATTAGGTCCTTCATTTCACTTACTAGGTTTTTTGGAAGACTTTGGGAATCATCGAGGAGGTTGTTTAATTTTGGAAAGGAAGAAAAGTTCGGCTTCGAATTCTGCAGGCGGCGTTGCCAAAGAGCCATCTTGTCAACAAAACTCTTAATTGAATTATAGTTTTTCAAAGTACTTTTCTGACCTTGTAGCTTTAGGTTCAGAAGATTTATTGTTTCGAAGAAGTCTGACAAACATGCCAAGTAAAAGATAAATTTGTCATCTGTAAATTTCTTGTACAGTTCTTCACTTGAACTCATCAAAAAGATTTCAACTTCTGATTTCAAGTTGAACAATCTTGCAAGCATATTACCTTTGGGCAACCAACGAACTTCGGTGTGAAAGAGAAGTGTTTCTTGATCACTGTTCATTTCTTGACCCAACAATCAAAAAAGTCTGGTGTTCAAAGCACTGGATTGGACGTGATTCACTACTTTAACTGCTAAGTTCAAAGCAGTGTTAAGTGATTCAGGGAGAGTCTGGCAAGCCAAAGCTTGTCTGTGGATGATACAATGGGATCCAATTATTTTAGGGTTCTTTTTCTTAGCCAATTCAATAAATCTTGATCGCTTGAGCTCCATCAGTACATATTCCAATAACTCTCTCCCAGGGAAGGTCATTAGCTTCTAAAAATGTTTGAAGAGCAGAAAATATATTTTTTTTCCGGTATTGGGTAATGGGGCCATCAGACCGAATGGGAATGGTGAGGCAAATATTGTTTCATTAATCTCGGTATCAGTTTCAACGTGCCCAAATAGCAGCTGGCCATGTTCTACACATTGTGACGCTGTACAGGGTGGTTTAAATTCGAGCTCCCCATTGGAATCTCCGTAACTGTAAGAGATACAGTCCAGGTGAAATGGGGGCAAAGTTTACCCCTCTTTTGTGACTAAAAAACGTTTTTGAAATTTCTGAAATATTTTTGAAATGAACTGAAATATTCGGGAGTATTGTGGCGACTATTCAGTTCGCTAGTGACTGTCGCGTTTCAAGTTTCTCGTCAGATACTCCTTTCCTTTTTTTGCATCAATGTTTCCGTTTATTTTCCAAGACTATTCATCTAGGAACATCCCTTATATGAATTCCGGAGGGGAAATTTAGATGAAAGTTGCATTAAAAAACTAAAGAAGCAATTCTTGAAAAATTGAAGAAAATATACCAAGAAAATACTTGATTTTCTAAGAAAGAGCGTTGTCACTGGATGAAATAATTCTAGTCTTTACCATTGAATAAGCACTTTATGCTTATTTAATGTCTACAGGGTGATTCCTATAGTACCTGCCACCGTTTGGGAGCGTGTAGGTGGTGCGTAGGGGAGTATTTTGATATAGGACACTTGGGGTCGGAAATCTAAAATAAGGGTGCCAGAGCCAAATTTACCTTCTGGAATTTCGCGCCTGTAGGTAGGCAACCCAACCGGCCGGCGGTGCACACGGAGCGATCTCAGGCGGCGATGTGTGGCTGACACTTGATCAGAATTTTGTTTAAACCCACGAAATCCCGTCTGCAACGACGCGTATCAAGTGAATAAACACTATGGCAATAGTATAATAATAGTTGGCTAGATGTAGGAAGTGCATTGAGAACAACGGTGGCCACGTTGAACACTTGTAAACGTTATTGCTTTTGACTGTCGTTTTCCCTCCTTCCCTCCCATGTCGCTTCCTCGCGCTAACTCGCTCTGCATCGCTCCGCGCGAAACGTCGGTCGATTGGGTTGCCTACATACAGGCGTGAAATTCCAGAAGATAAATTTGGTTCTGGCGCCCTTATTTTAGATTTCCGACCCCAAGTGTCCTATATCAAAATAATCCCCTAGGCACCCCCTATACGCTCCCAAACGGTGGCAGGTACTATAGGAATCACCCTGTATACAACAATTACAATTAAAAACGACCTATTAACACACGTAGGAATTATCGGCGCATTACATTATTACCGCACCTCCCTGTGAGCTGGTCATTCCTCAGGTAGTTCCCCTATCTGCCATTGGTGAACGCGCTTGGTTCAACCTTTAGGTATCCTATAAAATATAAGTAATGTCCTTTGTAATCCATTAGCTAAGCTATAATAAAAAGTGATAGAAAAAATCAGTGGTTGAATTAAAGGAGAAGATGATGCATCCCTACTTTTTTAAAATAATTAAATTACTTGGGATTTGGTCACTGAAGAAAATTATCTCATTCCAAGTCCTAAACCTCATCCAAAAATTGCTGTGCCATCAAAGATGACAAAAATTAAATGGTACACACAAAGGCAGTAATTCCGCTTTAAAAAATACTCTTGAGAATTTAGCTAAAAATTAATACTGCACCATTTAGTTTAAAGGAGTTCCTGCCTGCTTCATACGTTAAGGTGAAAGGGATCGAACGAAAAGTGTTCGCTGAACATAAGAAACATATCAATTTAAGTGAATTAGAATCCAAAGTCATTTACACCCAAAATGCCAGATCTTTAACAACATACGGTGTCACATTCTTCTTGGTGAAGGTACGTTGTTGTGCGTGTACCAGCCGCTAGATGAGTAATAATTGTATTATTACAGGAAAAGATGAAGGGAAAGAATAAGCTGGTACCGCGTCTTTTGGGTGTGACTAAGGATTCCGTCTTGCGACTGGATGAAAAAACTAAGGAGATTTTGAAGACCTGGCCGTTGACTACGGTCCGACGCTGGGGTGCGAGTCCCAACACTTTCACTCTGGATTTCGGAGATTACTCGGACCAATACTATTCTGTACAGACAACTGAAGCTGAACAAATTCAACAGATTATTGCTGGATATATCGACATTATATTGAAAAAGGTACAGATCCCATTAATACCATTATGCGTTTAAATAATGGAGTGTTCTAAATTATTTTAGAAACAAGCCAAGGACCATTTTGGTATAGAAGGTGATGAAGGATCTACCATGGTTGAAGATAGTGTGGCACCTCATAAGTAAATTAGTTACCAACTAAAGATTTGGGTTTTTATTTCCGTTATTTTAGGGCAACTATTTTACAACATGCCAGCGGTCGTATTGGGGAGAAAGTTAATACAGAGTCGCTCGCTAAACCTGCTATTATGAGAGCCGGAACCGATGGTAAGTTTTTATAATTTTACTAACCATACCATCGGATGGTGTACATACGACAATGTAATTAGATAGCAATGGTCCTATGTAAACTTACTAATATTGTTTTATTGTTATAATCTTTTCTCTTCCACTGACCAAGCCATTGCTATTAAATTGCAAAAGGTGATTTTTAAAGTAAAATTTGCACATTGCACTTTAGTGACAATAGCACAATTATGGTGCACTTGTGTTTCAGCCTGAACATTTTTAGTTTCTTCACACATTGCTTACTTTTATTTTTTTCCTTTATTTAATTATTAGGAGCCAAACCTTACGGTACAGGCCACATGGGAGGAGCACAACTGACAACCGTTAGTGGACAAGTTAATTTAGGCCATGCCCCACCTACGGTAAGAAAATATATCTATTAAGTAGCCGTTATTCGGGGAATGTACTTAGTTGGTTTTTAATGCTTATTGTTATTTGTTTTACATGGACGATTTTGTTTCATGCTCCGTTAGGACCAGAGAAGGGCCGTGTAGGTACAAAAGACTTTTAAGTTTATCCAGTTTTATGAGGGTGTGTTTGCCATGCGCCGTAATTTATTGGTCAGATTGTGAGGCACACTGTAAAAAGAATGAGAAATGCGTTATAGAAAACCCCCAATTGTTAATTGAAGGTGAAGTGTGTATGTAACAACAAATCTGAAACATTTCACATTGACGTGTTTGGGCTCTTAATAAACAATTTTCATTTTCACCTGAGGTCCCTATGATACCCCTGAGAAATTACTTAAATTGTTTGTAGTTGCCAGTATGTCATGATGGGCGTAATCACCACTGGCGGTCTACTTATAGAGCTGGGAAGTATTTCAAGTTTAAAATACTTTTAATATTTAAACTTTATTTTATAACAGATGTTGAAATTGACATTTTAATAGGTTTGAGTAAGTAGGCTAAGTCTCTCTTTAACAGCAAGAGTAGATAAAGTGATCACTATGTTTTATGTATTGCTCCATGTATAAGTTCAAGTAATGTAAATAATATCAAAAGATGATTGTTGCTTATTTTTTATTTTTTCTTTGGGCTATCGATTCCGACAGTATGTAATCATCAGGCCTTAGCTGGAATACACAACTTGAGATGAACGAGTGATATCAAAGATGAAAATGATCTTACCGGCAATTGAGTGAAATATAAACACAATTCTTAAGTTTATATTGCACTTAATTGATTTTTATCTTTTATATCACTCGTTCATCTCCAGTTATGTATTCCAGCTAAGGCCTGATGATGACATAATGTCGAAATCGATAGCCCAAAGAAAAAAGAAAAATATAAGTTTTAGCAACAATCGTCTTTCGAAATTATTATTATATAAAGTGATCACTTTAACGGCAAGGGTAGATAAAGTGAAGCAAAGAATGATTGTGCATTCTTATGACATCTATCATTCATTCTTATTAAAAATGGGGCGCAGAGCACGAACTAAAATGAAGACTTCTCCAAAGTATTTAAATACTTTTTAAAGTATTTGTATTTAGTATTTCCTTATGTTGCTTAAAAAATATTTAATATTTAAATAGTTGTAATTGGCCGTGTAGACAAATTCAACCCTACAAAATATGTGAAAATTAGCAAATCGCAACTGATTTATCGCACATAGATTCTAAATCGCAGAGTTTTGATTAGCATAATCTCGCCCCCGAGATATGTAACTCGCCCCTCGTTCGGGATTTCGAGCCTACAGTTGAATGTCGAACACAATCACGGAATTAGGTATCGTGACTCATTTAATTACAGTTTTTGCAACCCCCGTGACTGCTTCATTGACGGAAAAATGTTACTTACAAACAGCAAGTCAGTACACACAAAACCAACTCTGTAATTTCCACATATTAAAAGAATGATCCAAATTTATATGAATATTTCTAAGACCATGTAATCAAAACATAAACATAAATTAAGCAAATATTACACCAAAAACGTAAACGATTTAAAACAAAAGGTTAACGGTAATAAATATGTGAATCTGCATTACGGTTAAATCAATTTCAACAACAAAGATGGAAACTTACAAAAAAATATAAAATGTTGCATACAAAACACAAATATGTTATAAAGAAATGCAAAGATTACTACCTGCTTCTTTAAATAACAACAAACATTTACAGAGCGATGCTTTCGTGCTCTCCAGATGGCACAGACAGATTTTTCCCTTTTTCACAGCTTTATGTATGCCCCTTGACTGTGCGTACGTACGCCATTGGCCACAATTTTAAAGTACATAATATGTAGATTGGTAGCAAACATTTATAATTTTGGATCTTTAAAAAAATGTTGTTTTGAAGATGTGTTCCATACATTTCTCCAACCCGCGCATCTGTTTCGTCTGATATTTGTCTGATTTACGGTTGTCAAAAAGCATGGGGGGAATAGCACATTGTTTTATTATGGAAAATGTGCTAAAAATGTTGGTGATATTGTTCTCGATATTTTAAGCGTTACTATGTATTTCCATGAGAAGAATATTTAAGAACATTTTAGCTTATGGGAGTTCTGGTTTTGGATCTGGGTCCGTTCACGTAGCCCCCCCCCTCCCCAATAGGCCCACAATGTACCCAGTTTTCTGTACCTACTGTAGCTCAATTGTGTTTTACGCTAACGGTATATGCTTTAAGTTCAAAAAACCAAATAGACCCAGTCTCCAAAACTAAAAACTAACTGTGAGCATATAAGCGGAAAGTACAATCGAAGTATTCTGTGTTACCGTCGTTTAAGTATGAAAAAGTTTAATATGTTGGGAGATTAAGCATTCACTTAGCTCCTGTTTGAATTTTCGAAATTTTTTCTAGAACTGGAAAAGCACAAACCGTGAGCATAAATGCACAATAGAGCACAATTGAGATACAGTATGGATTTATTTTTGGTCTAATGGGACAAATAGGTGGCTAAGTGAACGGACCGTTTGGATCTTTCTACACAAACATATTTAAGGGTCTCCAAAAAGTATATACAGGGTGGTGACTTGCGTAACGCATCATAGGGATTTCAATGTAAAATTCATAACATGCGATTATTGGCTCCCCAAATTATTTTAGAGCAAAAATGTATTAAGGTTTTTTGTAGAAAAAAATTTTTTACGTCAATCAACCATATTAGTTTTCAATTTTTTTCATATAAAGACGAAAAATTGGAAAAATAAAACTCCCATCTTTTTCAATAATCTGTGATGCCATGGAATTTTATAATACAAAAACTACGCCAATATCCGTCATGCCATGGAATGTCTGCTATAAAACAAATCAAATTCTATCAAAAAGTATTATATTTAAAACAGCGAATTCAACATAAAGAAAGACCAACTTACTAAAAATATAACAATTTACAATAAATATTCGAATAAGTCACCATTCGCTGCAAGACAGTAACCAAGGCGATCATAAAATCCATTTCGAACTGGTGCTAATTGATAACTGAATATCTTTTTGTTTTAGAAAATTCCATGGCATCGCAGATTATTGAAAAGATGCGGGTTTTATTTTTCCAATTTTCCGTCTTTATTATGCAAAAAATTGAAAACTAATACGGTTGATTGACGTAAAAAATTTTTTTCTACAAAAAACCTTAATACATTTTTGCTCTAAAATAATTTGGGGAGCCAATAATCGCATGTTATGAATTTTACATTGAAATCCCTATGATGCGTTACGCAAGTCACCACCCTGTATAGACTGTTTCAAATTAAGTTGGCACTGATTACTAACTTTCTTAAGTCGTAGAGTTAAACAGATGGTTTAATTATCAAAATTGTGTATTTTTTCTACTGCATCCGAATCTTTAATTAAAAACCAAAACAGCATTACATTTTTCAGATAACAAACGTGAATTTTTATATGAAATACCTTGTATGTTATTATATCATACGATAACTTATTCAATTCTCTACAAAAGTTCTTGATGCACCCTAGTTCAAATAACCAAGATTTTAGCGCATTTTCCAACTCATTTCGTTTTTTTAGTGGATTCCAGTATTTAAAAGAACACAACTTCCATTATAAAATAACCTGCTTCCTCAAGACTATGAAGTAAAACCGCCGATCACATTTAGAAGGGGGGCACGCGTCTCCACCTACGCTGAACTAATGAGCACATCGTTAAACACTTGCATAGCCCGTTATCAACACCCAATGTGTATTTCCGTGGAAATTAATTAACTTTCGCTTCGCTTCTTATCACTAACAGTTAATCAAACGGTTTTAAAACACGCTAAATTTGACCAGATGTTTCTTACTAAATACGTCTTATCTAAAATACACAATAATTACAAAAAATTCCAAAATGGAAAAACAGTTACGGAAATACAAATTCAAATGAAATAAACCAATTCTGGCCTTATTCGTAAAAACCCCCCTAACCCGATTTACTTTACTAAATTGAAATATTTCTCAAACATAGGATCTCTCGTATTTTTTATGTTTAAACCGAAATAACGTCTAAATGAAGTTGTTTACACAACAGCCTTAAAATTAAGGTATTAAGGTAAAAGTATACTCTGTATCAGCAATTGGCAAGCACACACTTTTAAGACTGCTGCAAAGAGTATATCTGCTTACAATTCATTTAAAAGTGGGTAGCAATGATTCATTTTACAATGTGTACTTATGTCTTTCTGACACTGTACTATTTTATGTAGATACAACAAACAAAGGTAACATCTGTGTTAAGCGAACCTCAACGAGCTCTGATTTCAACAATTTCTTCTACTCAAAGTAGAATACACGAGTCTCAAGTCGATTTGGCAACCAGAACTCAAGTGCCGGAATTGGGAAGCGATCCCGCCGCGAAGAAATGGAAACAAGTAACTTTGGATACACGCAAACAAAATGTCGGTTCTCAAATTGCAGCGATGAATGCCGCAACTGCTCAGGTAAGTCATTACGAAGTCCTGGGTGAGTTGATTTAAACTAGCATTTTGTAGGTTGTTACCTTGACATCCGGACCTCAAGACGAAGTAGATCACACGGCCGTTGGCGCCGCGATCAATACAATCGGCAGTAATTTACCGGAGATGACTAAGGATGTCAAGATGATCGCCGCTCTCATGGATGATACGAGTGTTGGTGAAAAACTGCTCGAAGCGACAAGGAAATTGTGCACAGCCTTTAGTGATCTTCTTAAGTGTGTCGAGCCAGAAACAAAGGAGGTTGGTGAACATTTTGCAAGGAAATGTACTGACTAATTATTTTACAGCCGCGTCAGAACTTACTGAATGCAGCATCCAGAGTCGGAGAAGCTAGCACTCAAGTTCTTGCTACTATTGGTGAAGAAACTGAAGAAAATAAGGAACTACAAGATATGCTGCTATCGCTCGCGAAAGCAGTGGCCAACACTACAGCCGCTTTAGTCCTTAAGGCCAAAAACATCGCGGCAACATGTGAAGACCAACAAACCCAAAATCGAGTGATCGGTGCTGCTACTCAGTGTGCACTCGCAACTTCTCAGCTAGTCGCTTGCGCCAAGGCAAGTATATTCTTTTGCAACACAATCCCTAAATTTATTGGGTGTTTTAGGTAGTTGCTCCTACTTTGTATTCCCCAGCCTGTCAAGAACAACTGACTGCGGCCGTTAGGGAAGTTGCTAGAGCTGTGGAGAATCTTGTTGGAGTGTGCAATGATTCTTGCGATAATGAGGAACTATTGGGACAGTTGAGAAATGCCGCTTCAGAAGTTACACGCACATTAAATGATCTTTTGGAGCACATTAAGTTGGGTAAGTAGTCATACACCCATTTATTAAATTGATTTTATTGGTCGTCCGTATAATTTGCATAGGAAATATTTCCATACAGGGTGGTACACTACACTACACTATTGTACACACTGACTGGTTTGACAATTTGAAAATTTTCAAATTGCCTAACACAGGATTTGTAAAAAAATAAATAATAATAATAAGTGTCCCAAATTGGTACGTGCTTGCTGGCGAAAATCAGCTTAGAATGCTCGCTCTCCCACTTCTTTCACTATTTGAATCTCGGCCACTAGGAGCGCCGAAACGGGTCTTCTGAACGCAATGATCTCGACTGGCGTGACCTCAACCTATAGAAAATCCGCATTTTTAGTTTTTCAGTCGGCGCAAATGGAATCAAGGCAACTTTTAGGTCCGAAGATCGTGGTAACCGCGCTCGCTTTCCCTAATACGTTCCTTGTTATGGCTTGTTATCGCCAGACATACTTTTGTTTTCGTTCGCTGTGAAGCGGTATATGCGTAAATTTTCCCATGTTGAACTAAACACAAATTCTAAACCACATTTTTTGCACGGCAAAGCGGCCACCTGTTACGTACTTCAGTAAATAGCATACCAAATTTTATTTCTATTTATTGAGCCGCTTTTGCATGTAATTTGTATGCTTAAGCTGTTCTTACAGGAGAAAGTATTTGGAGAATGGTTGCGGATGGTTGATATAAGCCATGTGATCAATTGTGTGTACAATAAATGCACATTTGTGACGTTTCATGAGAATTAAAGGAAATGGTACACATTTCCAAGTTAAGTGCCTCTATGGCTCTATGTATTTAAAAGATTTTTATTATTTTAACAGATACCTTGTTTATAATTAAATTACAATTATTTAAAATCCTTTACCAGCTTCAAGAGAGAGGGCCCATGAAACAATCCAAGAAACTAGCGTTGAAATGATATACACTGCAACAGATAAATTGTCGGCGGCTTCCGGCGATACAGGAGAGATGATCAAGCAGGCGAGAGTGTTGGGTCAAGCTACCGCACAACTGATTCAGAGTATTAAGGTAAAGACAGATCGACGTAATAGTCGTTGTGACTTGCTAGTTAATACATTTTTATCAGGGTGAAGCGGAAAAGCAGCCCGATTCCGAAATACAAAGACGACTTCTAGCGGCCGCGAAAACATTGGCAGACGCGACGGCTCGCATGGTTGAAGCCGCAAGACAATGCGCCGGTCATCCCAATGAAGTCTTGTACCAAGATAATCTCAGAAGGACAGCCGAAGATTTACGTGACGTAACCATTGTTGCAGCTACGACACCGGCGCTCAGAGCAAAACTCGTCGATCGCGTTCAGGTAAATCGGTCGAATAAATATTAGTTCTCAATGATGATTTACAGCTTTGCGCGCGACGAGCTGTGTCTACTGCGACGCAATGTATTTCTGCAGCACAAGCCAGTGAACCGCACAATTCGAATCCGACGTCGCGCGAGGCGCTTATTGTTGACACCAACGATTTAGTAGAGCAGATACCTCCGTTAGTTGAGGCCATTAGGGCAAGCAGTGAAACGCCGCAGGAAATTACAACACAAAGTGAACTGATGTATGTTGCAGAGGTCTTCTTGCACGTAAGTTTTTCTGTTGTTAACACTGTACAGGGTGGCCAAATAAGAATGCGAGGTACTGTACCTGGGAACCTGTCCATCGTAGAGGATTGCGGTAAAAAAATTTATTACTAAAACGGCCACGAGAAAAACCTGGAAAATATTTTTAAATTTCTGAAATGGCCGCTAGGGGGCGTAACTGCAATCTGGAATCTGAAAAAGTGATGTTTCTGTGAATTCCGCTATATTAACCTAACAAAAAAATGTCCGGTCTTTGAAGTCAACGATAATCTGAACAATTTTTGTTTGACAAATTTCCCTGTATCTCTAAAAATGAAGTGGTGGGGGGTATTCAAAGGTTTCCCTAAAGAACACCTTGTATCTTCGAAACGGCTGAGCCGATTTAAACAAACTCAGGTTAGTTCAAAAGAGCTATTCTTCAGCTACAAATATTAAACTATTTGAAGTTTTGTTAGTTTCACACATCGCTTGAGGGCTTTTTTCGACATTCCGACAGAAATAGTTAATTTTCTCAAAAAAATGAAATGCGTTGGTTCGATTTTTTTTAATGAAGAAGTAGCTAAATGATGCCTAAACAATCTCGCGAAAACAGCATCTCGATATCTTGAGATATATATTATACCTATACCTATAATCTAAAATTTACTTATAGAAATCTGGAAAAATAAGAAAATTAATTTTTTTAATTGAAAGTTATCATTGTACATTATAATCAAGAGAGTGTATTGGTATCAAACCACAAACAATCGAAACGTTATTGGTACTTTCAAAGCAAGCAAAACATATTATGAAGAATAAATTTTTTTCATAAATCAATACCTATTTAAAAAAAAATTCCCTCTTGTATACCCCATCGCTTTACACACTGTATATATATTTTTATATCGTGATGGCCAGCATTTATGGCGGCATTAAAAGCTTCCTTGTTTAAATCGATCCATCTTAGGGCCACAAATTATATAATAAAAATAATTCCGAAAAAATTAGCTTAAAAAATAGAATTTTGAGGGTATACAATTTTCTTTGGCCTAAATTTTAGGTTAGGAACAAGATATCGAGATGCGGTTTTCGCGAGCTTGTTTAGGCATCATTTGGCTACTTTTTCATGAAAAAAAAATCAAACCAACGCATTGAATTTTTTTGAGAAAATTAACTATTTCTGTCGGAATGTCGAAAAAAGCCCTCAAGCGGCGATATGTGAAACTAACAAAACTTCAAATATTATAATATTTGTAGCCGAATAATAACTCTTTTCAATTAACCCGAGTGTGTTAAAATCGGCTCAGTCGTTTCGAAGATACAGCGCGTTCTTTACGGAAATATTTGAATACTCCCCACCACTTCATTTTTAGAGATACAGGAAAAATTGTCAAACAAAAAAGGTTCAGATTATCGTCAACTTCAAAGGTCGGACATTTTTTGTTAGGTTAATATAGCAGAATTCACAGAAAAATCACTTTTTTAGATTCCTGATTGCAGTTACGCCCCCTAGCGGCCATTGCAGAAACTTAAAAATATTTTCCAGGTTTTTCTCGTGGCCGTTTTAGTAATAATTTTGTTTGCCGCAAGCCTCTACGACGCACAGGTTCCCAGATACAGTATCTCGCATTCTTATTTGGCCACCCTGTACATGCAATTTCTGAATTCCCATAAGTGAAAATTGTGGAAGTAATTTCACTGCATCGCAAGTTCAAAATTAATTTGTGTTTCAGCCCGCGACGCATTTCATTCAAACCTCTCGTTCGGTTCTCTCCACATTAGACGATGCATCGATATCTCACCAACTCTCCCAAAGCAGTCAGCAGCTAAATAGCGACTTGGGCGATTTACGGGGCGCGCTGAGTCGAGCGAAACCGGCCTGTCAAGGTTTAGGTATCGACGCCGCCGCCGAACTCATCTTGAGCTTGAAAGAGGAACTTGACGAATTTGAAAGGGCTATTAATCTTCACGCTTTGAGACCGTTACCTGGTGATACAGCTGAACAGAGTGCTGCTCAACTAAATGGCAGTAGCAAGGCCGTTAACCAAGGTATCGCTCAACTTTTGGGCGCGGCATCACAAGGAAACGAAATATACACAGCTCAAGCGGCACGAGAGACCGCCCACAAATTGAGATCTCTCACAAAAGCTGTGCGCGGAGTTGCTGCAACATCCGAAAATTTGGACACACAAAGAAATATTGTGCACTCTGCCCAAGATGTTATGCAACATTCTGTGAGATTAATGGATGAAGCGAAGCGCAGTTTACATTTGCCTGATGGTGAAATGAATCATGAATTACCTCTCATTGCAAAGGAAGTGGCTACTGCTGTGGGTCGCACTGTCAACTGTCTACCCAGTCAAAGAGACGTAGACCAGACAATTACAGAAATAAAACAATGGACGTCCATCTTAGATTCTCGCCACTTCCCGTCAACAAACAAGAGCTACGGTCAATTGCAACAAGAATTAAATACTGCCGCGGCAAACCTTAACGAAGCGAGTGGCGATGTCGTCACATCCGTTCGTAACCCTATCCAACTAGCGTCTTCGTCCAAAGACTTTGGCTCCGCTTACCATGATCTCTTGAATGTGTCTGTTGAAATGGTAGGCCAAACGCAAGATACGGCAGTTCAGGGCAAGATGGTTCACTCCATCAAGAATGTCTCGACAGTTTCAAGCACTCTTTTATATACAGCAAAATCTGTATCCGCCGATCCCAATCTACCAAATGGAAAGAATCAGTTGGCGTCTGCCGCACGAGCTGTTACCGATAGTATAAATAATTTATTAGACGTGTACACTTCGGCTACTCCCGGTCAAACCGAATGTGAGAACGCGATCCGAAGTATTCAAGCTATGAAACCGCACCTCGATAATCCAAGTGAACCGGTTAACGACTGTAGTTATTATGAATGTTTAGATTCTGTAATGGAGAAAAGCAAATTATTGGGTAGGGTACATTGGGACTGTCGACTGTTTTTAATTAATTTGATTTTTAGGTGAAGGTATGACCGGAATAACAAATGCCGCCAAACAGTCTCAACACGAGAAATTTGGTGAGAATGTCAAAAATGTTAGTGTGGGTATATGTGGACTAATAGAAGCTGCCGCACAAGCAGCTTATTTGGTAAGTCATTTTTAATTGTGTAAAAAATACTAGCGGTTGTGATTAACATCCAATTTCAATTATTGACCAATTATGCCGTTAACTGAATACAGGTTGGAGTCTCTGATCCTACAAGTGTAGCTGGTCGTCCAGGTTTGCTTGATCAAGCACAGTTCGCGCGTGCTTCTCAGGCCATTCAGCAGGGCTGTGCATCTTTAACATCGCCCACAAGTTCACAACAGCAGGTATTGACCGCAGCGACGGTTATCGCGAAACATACAAGCGCGCTTTGCAACGCGTGTAGAATCGCCAGCTCAAAAACGAGCAACCCTGTAGCCAAACGCCATTTTATTCAAAGCGCCAAGGACATCGCCAATTCCACGGCCCACCTGGTCAAAGCGATAAAAGCGTTAGATTCCGATTATTCGGAAGTAAACAGGAGTCAATGCGCTGAAGCGACTAGACCTCTTTTAGGTAAGGTCATTTCTGAAGGTCACGAAGATTAAACAATGCTTCATTTTAGACGCCGTCGATAATCTTTGCGTTTACGCTTGCTCAAGTGAATTCGTCACTATCCCTGCAAAAATATCAACTCAAGCGCGTTTGGCGCAAGAGCCGATAGTCGAGGCGGGTCGCAAAATCATTGAAAGTTCTTGTGCCGTTTTACACACAGCAAAGAGCTTGGTGGTGATGCCCCGCGATCCACCCACTTGGCAACAGTTCGCCAGTCATTCGAAAACTGTATCGGATTCTATAAAAAAGCTTGTCTCCAGTATTCGGTAAGTCCAAAATGCCATATCTAAAAGTATAAGAAAGCTTAGCTTCGTCCGTAACCAACAAAATCAAATCCCGGGTTACCAACAGGCAGTATAATTTTATCCATATTTTAGTGATAAAGCTCCAGGCCAGTCTGAATGCGAAAGGGTTGCTATAACTTTAACAAACTACCTACGAGCTTTAGACGCCGCTTACATGGAAGCTGTATCACAAACATTAGCAACTCGAAAGGGTTCATCACAAAGTGTGTACAATCAACAAGTTGCTCGTGCGGCTAGTGAAATACAAGACACGATTGAACCGTTGCGCCAAGCCGCCAAATGTGAAGCAGAAAATATCGGGCACACAGTCAATCAAATGGTAACCATTCAAACACGTGTAACCCTTTTGTTAATGTGCATTATAGGTACAGTACTTTGAACCCTTAGTTCAAGGCACCATAGGCGCCGCATCAAACATGTCCAACTCGAAACAACAAGAGTTGCTATTAGATCAAGCGAAATCAATCACGGAAGCCACGTTACAGCTTGTATACGCAACAAAGGATTGTGGCGGAAATTCTAAGGCTATAAACATCCATCCCGATATTGACGAATGCGCTGCGTCAACTCGTGAAGCACTGCAAGAGCTTGTGAGCAATTTGGAAACGATTTCCACTCAAAGTGGCATTGTGTCGGGTGTCGTTGACAATCTAACCAAGGCGATAACCCGCCTATCCGATCACAGAGCTTCCTTAGTTATATCAGACGGTGACACTTACGTGGATTATCAAACGAGGATGGTCGAGTGCGCCAAGGACATTGCAAAAATTGCCGGAGAAATGGTAACGATGACTTTGGCGTCAGGGTGTACTAACTGATTTGTTACAGCCAACAAAGGGCGCAACTGAACCTCAACGTTTGGCGCCATTGTCTGCAGACTTGGCACGAAAGTACTCTCAACTGGCAAATGATAGCATTGGAGCTGCGGCTGCTTCTACAAATGGTGAGGTTGCGTTAAGATTGAAAGAGGTTGTGCAAGCGTTAGGTGGCGCTTGTGTCGATTTGGTGCAAGCCGGTGGACAGTGCCAAATTCGGAAGGATGATATGACGTTGCGTGACCTTGGAGATAGCTCGCGGATTGTTATTGAAAAGGTACATCTTTGTGCTAAATCCGTTTTTTTTTCACAAACTATTGTAGGTTTCGCGCGTTTTGGCGACTCTCCAATCGGGTTCACGAGGCACCCAAGCTTGCATTAACGCTGCATCTACTGTGTCGGGTATAATCGGTGACCTAGATACTACCATAATGTTCGCGACTGCTGGAAATCTCAACCCAGAAAGTGAGCATGAATCGTTTGCTGATCATCGTGAGAATATTTTAAAGACCGCCAAAGCGCTAGTGGAGGACACAAAAACCTTGGTCGCCGGAGCGGCTTCGTCTCAAGAACAATTGGCGGTTGCAGCTCAGAATGCTGTCACAACCATCGGTAAACAATCTTTACGATACGATACGATGTCACTAAATTGTTACAATTTCAGTCCAACTGGCCGAGGTGGTCAAGTTCGGTGCGGCAAGTCTCGGTTCAGATAATCCAGATTCGCAGGTCATGCTTATTAATGCTGTCAAAGATGTGGCGAGCGCTTTAGGCGATCTAATTCATGCGACGAAGGCGGCGAGTGGAAAACCAATCAACGATCCCGCTATGGCCCATTTGAAAGATAGTGCTAAGGTACAAATTTGTAGTTACGCAGTTGCATGAAGGGTGGCAGTAGTGGTAGTAATTAATGTATTTAACAGCTCAAGGTAATTCGAGTTGGTAATATCCATTCGTGTATACTGGGTGTGTTTAAAATCATTGGAATTAATTATTAGGCAGTGGTTTCCAAAAAAAGATCTTCAGCATCTTTTTTTTTTGTGGCTGCTTTATTAACTAAAGTTTCTTTTTAATGTTTTTCCCAGATTCTTTAAAAAATAGATGTTGGCGTTACACATTATGATCATTTGATCGGCAATTGTCGTGGAGCACCTCATTGCAGTTGCAACTTTAATTTTTTTTAATTTTCTCATTGATAGTTACTGTGCACAGTGTAAGTGGAGTTACATTTTGATATTCAAAAAACATTCCGATTTGGGTTCGTTTTCTAATTATTGCATTTAATAGAAAATAGATACATAAAAAAAATTAAGTAGACAGGGTTTCAGCTGAGGCTGCTCTACCAACCCAACCCACGATGCATTTACAAATATCCATATCCGAATCCGGATTCGAACCAGAGACCCTTGCAACCGTAGTCGAGGCTTGTTGGAGCTACAAAGTCAGTTGAATTGACAAATATGGAATCATGCGGGACGTGTCTCCACCATTCATCATGGCCGCTGATAAACGCGCTTTCGTTTCAACGCCTTTATTACACTTTCACTCATGACTTAACACCCGAACACTGGGCCCATAACCTGTTGAGGTGGCGCATCCCAAAATCGAGAAGTCAAAAAGAACTTGATTGTAAAAACATTTGCTAAACAGAAAGAAACTGATTCTGTTATGAGGTGATTAACATACTTTGTGAGCCACGACTCGTTTACAACAGATGGCGCAACTACGCACTAAATTCTGACAGTTTATTGGTGTTTTTGTTTTACTTTTGAAAGTAGTACTAGTGCTTCCACTTTACAAACGTATTTCTATTTTCTATTCATTTTTAATACACACAGAATTCAATAATGGTTTTCTTTACAGTATATAATTGTTGAAGCGTCCAACTGGAGTTTTACTGTTAAATTTATATTGAACTCATGTTTTCTTCGTTTGATTCAAATAACAATTCCTTGAAAATGACTTCTAATTAAAACTTTTTAACACCTTTCATTTTCAAATTCTCAAAATGATAGCTCAAATTGTTTGGAACTGAATCATTTTATTTGTTTTTAAGCATTTTTTGTGAGATTATATTATAAATTTAAATGGAAAAAGAATAAACATTTTTTTTTCAAAGAATATGTGTCTGATATAATCTTGTCAGATGCACTTATGCAAATTATTTACAAACAAAGGAAAGATACATCTGAATTTCATTTGCCTTTCTTTCTTAGTACGGATTATGATGGATTTATTTTCGTAATGAAATTCTCCATTATTTTGGGGTTCGTTGAGATTTGCTTTAATATGTAAAAAAGAACCACAATTGTTTATTTTTTCTAAAGCGATCGATTTCGGTCGATCCGAAATCGATCGCTTTAGAAAAAATAAACAATTGTGGTTCTTTTTTACATATTAAAGCAAATCTCAACGAACCCCAAAATAATGGAGAATTTCATTACAAACCCGAAATCGATCGCTTTAGAAAAAATAAACAATTGTGGTTCTTTTTTACAGGATTTATTTTCCTTTTAAATAAAAAACAAATTTTACTAAACAATATTTAAGGATTATTAAATCATTCTTTCTATTACATTTCTTCTTCTTATGCAACTTGTTTCATTTTTCTTTCGAAGTTCACTATTCGAATGATGCAGTCGAATTTTTAATTATCATTCCTCTTTTTATGGTTTAGAAAACCTTGTACATGCCCAATTTGAATGCTACAGTACAGGGTGGGTCAATTTGGTGGCTCACGATTGGGATTTCCGTCGCAGTGAAAAATACGTGTAGGTTAAATGGGGGCAAATTGCCTTTTTTCTGACTAAAAAAACGCATTTGAAATTTTTGAAAAAACTAGCTACAGGCTACTACTTTCTTATTTCTTTTGGGCGCCATATTGGATTTTTACGAAATTCATTTCTCAACAAAACATCCATGGGTAACTAGATCTTGCTGAATTAGCATGACTGTGATGGCAATGCAATCAAATGAATTTATTTTTTGTTCTCTATCTCATTCTATAAAAATCCAATATGGCGTCCATAGGAAATAAGCAAGTAGTAGCCTGTAGCTTCTAAATCTAGCGTGCTATGGAAATTGTGACAACGGATTCAGATTCTCCGAAAACAAACAAAACAAAAGTGCCCATACAATGTGCCAAAGGAAACCGTCCATTTCCGACCGTTTAAGGTATGGAAAATAAAAACGAAATTTGACATTTTCAGTTTTTGGTTGATACCTCAGTTATTTTCAAAAATTTCGAAAAGGTTTTTTTAGTCATAAAAAGGGGCGCAACTTTGCCCCCATTTAACCTACAACGTATTTCTCACCGTTACAGAGATCCCAATTGTGAGTCAACGAATTTGAACCACCCTATACATTGACCATTTGCTGTTCTTTTTAGGCACACCTAGTGTACGTTACAACCAAATATTTTAATTTACGTAACTGTATTTTGTATTTTTAGACTTCCAAAGTGATTCAAGTAGTGCCTTACCTTTTATACTTTTGTGCTCAGGTTTTTCCATAATAAAGAAAATGTGTTGTCAAATGAATAATTTTGTTTTAAATGTGGAAATAGGTATATTAAGAATGATTCAAAATACAATGAGGTTCTAGAAATAATTGCGGTTGGAGCTATGCTCTGATGATTCATCATACATTTCTATTGCATTTATTACCTGACAGTTTGAATGAACGTTAATTTTACATTATTAGATAACGTTAGGTATGCTACGTGCTCTGCTTTGATTATTTGTAAATGTAGGTTCTGCTGAAATATTGAATGTTAGACAGAATTCATTTGTTCAACAAAACGTTTGTTCCAAAATTACAGATCACAGTGGATCAGCAATATTAAAAAGTAGGTACTTCTTACAAACCAATACTTTCAAAAATGCACCAAATCGTCCAAATCGCATGTCTTACTCTTTCTTCGATCAATGTTTGAAGGGTTTGCGCCTGGTGTATGCGATTTCTTCTTGAAAGAGGTCAGATTTATCTCGTTCAATTTGTGTTTTACCCACACATCTCTGCAGGTGTATTTGCTCCTGGATGATCAAATCTTCGGGTTTGCTGCATGAGCATAGTTGGTTATAGAAATATCTAATACTAATGTAACGTTTAACCCGGTTCTATAATTTCCATCTAACTAATCAATGCATGTGTGTGTGAGCATTATAACATTCAAATTTAATACAGGGTGGACTTTAAATCGAATGTGTTTCATCTGTTCATAAAATTAAACATAAACATGCATAAATTAACACATTTCGCACACTTTATATCACAGTTTAACAAACCGCGACGAGAACTAATGAAATCTGTAAATATAAATATAGTGGCGCAGTTTCTCAAAACATGTGTTTAAAGTCCACCGGTAGCTGGTTTTTTTTAGAGTTTTTCCTTGCTATTTTGTTGTTAGTTTTCGTGTTGTGTAACATAACTTTGTGACACTCTGGTGGTGGGTCTGTGTAACACATGTTTTGATTGACTCTTAGGTTTTGGAATCTGATACAGATTGGTGGATATCTGATCAAGAGGAAGAACTTATTCGCTTACTGAGTAGCAGCAGGGAAAATGTCAACAATGAGGCTTTGCAATCTGATATTAACCAATGTGAACTGTTAGCTACATAAATATCATTTACGTTTATAACCTTTTTTAATTTTATATAATTTATTTATTCAACATGTATCGTATTATATGTGAGCAATAATTTGTAATTTGTGCCATGGAGTTTTAAGTTCATAATGTTGCTCGAGGCTTTGTTATATTCATATATTTGTTTTTTAACAGTATGCTACTTACAAAAATATATATTTAATAAAATGTGTGGCATAATAATTTTAATTTCTTCATCCCAAAATGTATAAATTCCGGGGTATGTATTTTGCTGTCATTCAAATTTTTAATTCGCAGTTTTTATTTATTTTTATTTAAATCTTTCTGGATTATCTTGATTAAGACTAACCAATTTTTATATTTCAGCTTTGGTGTTATGCTAAACGCATGTGCTTATAAATAAACTTACAGTAATGATTCAATTTACTAACGGTTATTATAATTTTAGGTTATGGTGACAAACGTGACTTCTCTATTGAAAACGGTTAAGGCGGTAGAAGACGAACATACCAGAGGCACACGAGCATTGGAATCGACAATTGAAGCAATCGGTCAAGAAATTCGCGTAAGTCATATTTTTGGTTCTTCAATTTGGTTAATTTGATTCTTAAGGCTCTCAATACAAGCGATGGTTGTAAAAGTGGCGTTACTCCCGAGGATATTATACGATCTACGAAAGCGATTACTAAAGCCACTGCGAAATCAGTTGCGGCTGGAATCAGTAATAAGCAAGATGATATAATAGCGGCCGCCAACATGTCACGGAAAGCAATTTCTGACATGCTGGTCATATGCAAGGTATATCTTCAACTGTTTGTGAACGGTCTCTAACTTGAGTTAACAGAGCACAGCATACAACGTAGCCGAAACTCCTGAGCTTCGCAATCGAACTCTACTCGCCGGTCAAGACTGCGCCCAACAATTCAGGGAGTTGTTATTCGCCATACTTCAAGGGAATAGTGCAGATTCCAAGCACATCCTACCGCCTATATCACGCAAGATAGCACAATGCGTAACAGAACTAGTCACTGTTGCCGAACTTTTAAAGGGTTAGTAAACCTAGTTTGATTTTTCGGGATATTTTAAAGTTGACGTAGGTTCAGATTGGGTGGACCCAGATGATCCGACAGTGATAGCCGAAAACGAACTTCTAGGGGCAGCTGCATCGATTGATGCGGCTGCGAAAAAATTGGCAAGTTTGCGACCGAGAACGAAAATAAAGGTAAGTTACATTGAGGATCTTTTTATGTCTTTAATATACGAAGTAATTGTGAATTACTGTAAGATATGTTTGATATTCTTGGTTGTTGTTTTGATCACCCAGGAGTCAAACATATTATTACAGTGGTTTATATAATCAGCGATATTATATTTTGTAAGTATTGTGTCGTGTCTTGTTTGCATTATTATAAATTTCAGTAGAACCCCAATTATTTGATTATAATAGACAAACGGCCAGTATTATAAAGCATAGTTAAGTATGTTGTCAGGCTTACAATGTTCTTAAGGCATGTGATTGGATTTTTTTTCAACGAATCACATCATTCTTTGAAAAAACTGATTTTAAAAATGTAAACATCAATATTTTTTAAATAATGTTAAAGTATATTTTTTTTGCCTTGCAAACTTTGATTTGGGTAGTGTATGTTCGTAGTTTCTTGCGTTTTTTAATATCGCCATTCCTTACTAAAAAATAGTGATATTTACATTTTTGAAATCGGAGAAAAATGCTCTATCTAATGAAATAAAAAGTAAAAATGACTTCCATAAGAAAACACAAAGTTGATTATGGTTAACCGGGGCGAAACGTCAGACTTAAAATTTAACACTAGCATCTTGTAGAGGGAAAAAAGTGGCCATGTCATTTATTTTTAGATATCTTATTAAATAACTTCGGTCAAAAATTAAAACGATTTTGCAAAATTTCGTATTTTTCAGGATATCTTTTAAAGTAGTCGTAATTTTTTCAGTTTCAAAACGGCATTTTGTTAAGCATCAAAATGTCCAACTTTGCCAAATTTAAACTACCCACCTATCTCTTACAGTTTCCGAGATCCCCATGGTGGCCGTCGAATTTGAGTCAGCCTGTATACCTAAAAACGTTCTAGCGGGCGCACATTGCGCATCTCCCCATACTATTTAGAGGTTTGGGGGACTCGGGCGTCTTTTCCGACCATTTTTGGGCTTCTATCCGTTCCGAATTTCAACCCTCTTATCAGTTAGGTTAGGTCGAAATGCGCGGTTAGGTTAGGTCGAGACCACGGCGGGTAGGTTAGGTCGAAATGTGCAGTTAGGTTAGGTCGAGATGGTGGCGATTGGGTTAGGTCGAAATGGGCGGTTAGGTTAGGCCGAATAGGGCAGTTGGGTTAGATTGCAGTTAGGTTAGGCCGAGATGGGCTGTTGGGTTAGACAATAAACGGGTCACGACACGTAAAAAAAAATGTTAGTCGCGCACACACAGGTATACAGGGTGTAGAAACGGTTTATGCACCATATGGATTTCAATAGTAGTTTCTTTATATTGAAATATTTTCTCCCCTGTTCAGGGTGAGTCAACGATTGCGCGGAGTAACTTAGTGTCTTGAAGATAGGATTTTTCGATAGAGTGCTTTTGTATTATGATGTGGTTGAATATTCTCCACATTTTAAAAATATTTGTAATGATACAGGGTGTACTCACAAAGTAGGGCGCCAAAATGGTACATTTTTTTAAACAGAACCCCCTGTATTTGAATGCATTTTTGATTTCTACGTGTACGTCTTTTTTATTATATGGTTAATATCCGAAAAACTAGTAGTTTTATCTTTAATATCTTTATCTTTATTGACGGCCAAGCCAATATTTTAGACATTAATTTCAATAACATATTTTACTTAATATGTAATCAAAATAACGCATCTTTAGTAAAAAATAATTATGTATGATTAGATATTAATCGTAAGAATAAATTAAATTACTTAAACTACTATTCAAAAAAATCTAACAAATCTAAATCTAAATCACTCCTACAATGCCAAAAAAAAAACAGTAAAAAGTTAAATGTTATGTCGATGTCGATGTCTTGGTTAAAAATTGTCGTTGCAGAAGATCTGCGATGAGTTTAGTTGATAAATACAACAAGTCTATTTCTGGAAACTCATTGCATGTAGCAGGGATCCTTGCTAACGGTTGACTCATAGTGTAGTTGTATCGATAGGTAGCTTCTTTAAAAAGTTGATCGGGTAGTTCTTTGAGGTATCGTGAATTGAAGAGCACTAAGAAGCTTAGGACAATCCAGAGTTCCTTTTAGTAGTTTAGCTGCGATTAGAACATCAGCTATTTTCCGGCGGTCTTCAAGCGGTATAATATTATATTTTGCCATGATGACGTTCTTGGAATTCAAATTGCCAGATTTGAATTTTATATAATTCAGGAATTTGGATTGAACTCTTTCAATGCTATGAATTAAATATTTGAAGTTAGGTGACCATATTGGACAAGCATATTCCAGAGTACTCCTACAGTAGACGTTAAATAGAGTCACTAAAACAGAGACATTACGAAAGGATGCACAATTTCTTTTAATAAAGCCCAGCACTTTGAAAGCTTTATTAACCTTTTCGTATATGTGTTGGCTAAAAGTCAATTTTTCATCAAAGAGTACACCCAAGTCCATTATGTCGTGAACTCTTTGAAGCGGAGTAGTTTTAAAGATAATTCGATTTGTAAGAAAAATTGGGCATTTGCAAGCGTCAGTATATTGCCAAAATTATTACTTACTTAAATTTTGATTCCAGGTTTTATATCTTTTATCCTGGGTTAAGTAAAAGTCAATTAAATACATCTACTGTCAAACATTAAAAAAATAGCTTACAGGGTGTTTTTTTGGTAGGTCCAAAGTTGCAAAACTTCATATTAAAAAGTCTCATTTTTTTTAAATGGAACACACTGTATATTTTTCTGTCATCTTTTAGCTCTTCCAAAAACCTTGAACTTTTGATAATAATGATACCTATCTCTGATTTTCCTGGTTTTTATATTCTAATCTTAAATAAGTTATTATGTAATTTGCATAATAATAAGGTGGCCATGCAAAAAAAAGGCAATTTTTATCTGCCTCGTCCAAAGCTAAAATCATATTTATTAATTCATTTTTCGAATAATTCATTTAAGTCTGGAGACTGGAGAACAAATTTGATAGTAAAAACATGAACAAATATCTTGGTTTTCCTAGTTTTTAATCTGAAATAAGTTCTAATTTACATAATATCGAGGAGAATATGAAAAAAATGAAACCAATATCACTGACTGGATGACATGAGGAGTTAAATAAAATTTGGTTTGTAGTCAAATGTTTTTACTTATTCTCCAGTTTTTGGACTTAAAATAAATTGTTTGAAAAATAAATTAATCCATATGATTTTCGTTTTGGGCGAGATAGATAAAAATTGCCTTTTTTTTGCATGGCCACCTCGTTATTATGTAAATTACATATGTATAACTTATTTAAGATTAGAATATAAAAACCAGGAAGACCAAGATATTTCGAAAACTATCAGAGATAGATATAGGACATTATTATCAAAAGTTGAAGGTTTTTGGAGGAGCTAAAAGATGACAGAAAAATATACAGGGTGTTCCATTTAATAAACGTGAGATTTTTTAATATGAAGTTTTGCAACTTTGGACATACCAAAAAAAACACCCAGTAAAATATTTTTTAATGTTTCATAGTAGATGTATTTATTTGCTTTTACTTAACCTAGGATAAAAGATGTAAAACCTGGAATCAAAATTTAAGTAATAATTTTGACAATATACTGACGCTTGAAAATACCCAATTTTTCTTTCAAATCGAATTATCTTTAAAGTACTAGTTTTTCGGATATTAACCATATAATAAAAAAGACGTACAATGACACGTAGAATTCAAAAATGCATTCAAGTATAGGGGGTGCTATTTAAAAAAAATGTACCATTTTGGCGCCCTACTTTGTGAGCATACCCTGTATAATTCCAAATATTTTTAAAATGTGGAGAATATTCAACCACATCATGATACAAAAGCACTCTATTGAAAAATCTTATCTTCAATGCATTAAGTTACTCCGCGCAATCGTTGCCTCACAATGTAACGTACACGATCACGATACTAGGCTTAAGCATAACATTCGAACTAAGTACTGCAGGTTGTCAAAAACACAGGATGGTGTAGTCCACCAATCTCAACTTCTTTACAACAGCCTTCCTAATAATATATATCTATGCCCATTGGAGCTCTTAAGTCACGCCTCAAAACATTTCTTTCAAAACATGCTTTTTATTGTCAGGAAGAGTTCATGAAAAACTGTTATGCGATATAATATGTAAAATTGTACTCTGTTATCCTCCTCTGTTAGTTAGTCTCTGAATGTACCTTTTATTTTGTTTGTAATATTTTTTTCCCATGACGACCGTAAGTGTACCCTACCCACACGGATAACGGTATAATAAATAGGTATTATTATTATTATTATTATTATTATCATCACTCTGTAGACACACATTTGCGTTTGCAGTTTCGCAAATGGAATTTGGCTATATAACGAACGATGCAAACTGTTATATTGCTTCGTGACCTATACATGCAAATACATTACGAAGTTAATTTAAACTTATGTTTTCTGGCTACTAGGTAACTATTTGGAGGTTAACGGTTTTATAAAGCCTAATTAACTATGCTATCAGGCTAACAATGTTGCTAACACATGTTGGATGTTTTTTAAAGAATAATACGAGTATTATTCTTTGAAAAAACATCCATTCACATCCCTTAACAACATTGTTAGCCTGGCAACATAGTTAACTATGCTTTATGTAATACCGGCCGTAAATGTTATTTAAACAATAGTTCCACCTCTCAGGTCAGGTGACTGACTAAATAAAACAGGTTGATTGGTTAGAATTCAAAATTTATCCAATCGATTTCTTTATTATGCCAATCAACTGAACTGAGGATCATCTGTTGTGGTCCAACTGGCCCTAAAAGCCAAACAAATGCTCGAACTATTATATTACTCGAACTGTCTTAAATTATTTTCATAAATATTGGTGATGCGTGAATAATTATTGCCCAATTGGACTTTGCATTCTTATTTTTACAAAAATTAGGGATGCTTGAATCATTTTTATTGGCGTTATTTAAGGGTTGATGTATATGTAGATTAAATGTCAAACAAATGTTTGAAATATTTCTGCCCACCACTCCTACTTACTCTCCCTTTTGCCTAAAAAAAAACAATTAAAACTTCAAATGAAAGAGTTGAGTTGCACATCTTTGTAAGGTTATAACACATTTGAGAAACTCATACCTTTTTTTCATATGCCTTCCACAATTTAAGGCTAGAACTTTACGCAATTCAAATTTGACTGTTTGTTACCTTACCCATTGATCATGATCACTTAACAACACTGTCACTGGAAAACCAAAAAAAAGTTGGTTTAGGGGTCTGTAGAGTAAGGTAAATGAAATTAATGTTTTTCCTGTTTATATAAGTAACTAATTGGGGTCTACTGTAACTTAATTCGAATACGAAAAAAATGTGTCATACAATTTTGCAGACACATGACTTGGACGAATCAATGAACTTTGATGAAATGATACTAGAAGCCGCAAAATCCATTGCGGCGGCAACATCCGCCTTAGTTAAAGCTGCCAGTGCCGCTCAACGAGAGCTGATTGACAGCGGTAAAATGTCGCGCACGCCCATTTCCTCATCGGACGATGGACAGTGGTCAGAAGGTCTGATTTCTGCTGCCCGTTTAGTAGCGGCCGCAACTCACAGTTTAGTGGAAAGTGCGAATGCGCTTGTGCAAGGTGATTATTTCATTGCACTTTAAATTGTTTGTTATAGTTTCTTCTTTAGGCTTGGCCAGCGAAGAAAAACTTATATCATCTGCGAAGCAGGTTGCTAGCTCCACCGCTCAATTATTAGTTGCATGCAAAGTGAAAGCAGAAAGCGATACCGAAGCGACTCGGCGATTACAGCAAGCCGGTAATGCGGTCATTCGCTCTACAGATAATCTAGTACGAGCGGCTCAAAGAGCAATTAGTGTCGAGGAAGAACGATCGCTAATTCTTAACAAACGAATGGTCGGTGGCATCGCCCAGGAAATAAATGCGAGGTATATTTCTGATCATTCCATTTACGTTATAAAATGCACATTGAATGGCATGAATCTATGTTTGTATTAAATAGGATTGAGGGACAATCTATCTTTTATCAGTTTTAATTAGTAGCAAAAAGTAATGACATTAACCGAGTTTTGATTAAAGTTGAGCTAAAGAAATGTGCACTGGTAATCACTCACACTAACTCATTTTCACAATTTAATTACTAATCAGGTGACTGACATTTGCACTCTCCTTTTGCATGTAGGTCAGAGGTACTACGTATTGAACGTCAACTTGAGGAAGCACGAGGGAAACTAACCGCTATTCGACAGGCCAAATATAAACTGCGCGGCGGAGACACATCGGGCGATGATACAGACGGGTATGTGAGTTCCGCCTTTGATGGCGCCACTTCGCGGTGAGTTTCAGGTGTGTGTTTAACCCCACTAATCTCGGTAAAATGGTTTAGTTTCGATTTTAGTGTAGTATGAGTAATCGTAAGTAGTTTGACAGTCGTAGTATGAAGCAGTTAGAGCTTTACATTTTTGTGTTTTTTCAGTTACGGGAGAAACAAAAGGTAAATTCTCAAGGAAATATTTGGAATTAATTCTTTTGCTGTTTGCTTTTTTTTATGTTTTAATTATGCAGTTTACTTTTTTGCAGTATCTTTCTTGGTTGAGAGGAAAAAATCGTAACTTTTTTAATACTTCACAAGTTGGCTAACCAAAAAATGTAAATCTATTGTTCATGAAAAATAAGCACGTTCAGTTGAGGTAGAGTGGAAATAGGAGTCAGTAAACTATGTTGTAAATTATTATAATTTAAAAAACTAAGGTGCTATAGAGAATAATCTGAGGGCCACTAAAGTTTACACTAGTTACCCCGTCTGTCTAAAAGAACTAGTTAATTCTAGTAAGCAGCCTTTAAAAACCTCAGAAACGTTCAATTTTGCAATAATGGGAGTAATAAAACAGGTAGATACGTTTTGTCCACCTCTTTCGGTAGATTCCAAACTCATTTCAATGTTCACACAATTCACGGAACTAAATAATAAAATAGGGGTAAAATAAAATCTTGCTTAGAGATCAAAATTCGAACTATTATTGTACCACCAGCCAGATTTCCATCAAGCACAGGTACAGCTGCCACGGAGAAAGAAAGTTTCAGGTCGCGCAGGTGAAGTATTAGGATCTCGGAAACCATAAGACATACGGATTCGGTTAAATGAGGAAAGAGTTGTAGTTTTAAGAGCTTATTCAAGATATGCTTTTGTTTTTTTAAAAAATCCAGTTTACTAGATATGAGCGAAAAACAGATTTAGTGTTTTTTCATTTAACTGTTGTAGAATCGTTATTATTAGAAATACAACAAAATGACACGAATAAAAGTTTTAGACATTTTAATGCTTAACATGATGAACATACTAATTTCCTTCTATATTTTACAACTTTTGTGTTATAATACAAACTTTAATTGTTTTGAATGGTAGTCATAGTTGGTCATGGAAAACAATATCTAGTGAGTATCTTTCATTTACGACGAAAATTGGACAGGCTAATATTATCTTCATTTTCTACCAAATGAATTTCAAGATATGTAGGAGGGTTCGATTTGGAAACACGACGTAATTTACGCTGTTTCAACATAACGGTGCCCCGTCCCACAACTGACTGCAAGTTAAATATTATAATAGACAGTAATTAAGGGAACAAAAATGTTTCCCATGGCAAAATCTGTTTTTACTACTCTTAATAATGCAAACAGTTCAGTATCATGTTTATTTGTCAAAGTAAGTACAATGAACCTTATATCATTGTAAACAGAAAAAATGCACTTTTTAAAAATGTCACAGCCAACTATGATTACCATAAAAAAAATGTAAGTTTGCGTTATAACTCGAAAATTATAAAACAAGAATATTAATAAACGTATCTTATTAAGCGGAAAAAAAAACTATGATCTCTATATCTTACGGTGTCCGAGATCCTAATGCTTAAAATGAAAAAAAAAACTCACCCTGTATAATACACATTTAGATCACTAGTTTGAGCTGTTATCTTCCCCTAAATTTATTATAATGCTTTCAGTTTTTTTGGGCCTACTACGCCACTGGACTTTCTGATTTGCCGCGCTTAAAATATTTCAAAAAGTATAAGTGCGCATTCGACCTTCAACTGTTTTTTTTCCCTGACAGCAGTAAATTTTTATGAACAAGATTTATGAATTTTTCTACTATTGCATACAAATCAGTACAAATTGGTGACCATTTGATATTAAATGGAAATAACGTACAATATAAGTACGTTTATACGCCCTGTAATTGCTTTTGTTTTCACATTAACCAAGCGCTAATTTTATTTTTCAAAGCAGTAGAACTAATTCACTGAGCAGGTTAAGCAATATCATTCGATTTTTGTATACAGGGTGTTCATTTGAAAACTTCCCACCACGGATTTATCCTCGAATTTATCGAAAACCACTGATTAATAAAGGAAAAAAACCGCCGAGACACGTCAAAAGATTTGGGACAACTTTTTAACCAAAAACTGATTCAAATTTTACTTCCAAAATGCCAAGAGTGGAAATTATTCTAATTTTCTCGAAATCGAATCTACCAATTAAAAAAATTAAAGATCAAAATAAAGGGCTTTCAAACAGGCTATTACTTGTCATTTAAAATTCTTAAGGGAATAACCCTGGGGGGCAGAGGGTGAAAGGGGATGAAGTAGTTTTTGGTCAAAAAGTTGTCCCAAATCTTTTGACGTGTCTCGGCGTTTTTTTCCTTTAATCAAAGGTTTTTGATAGATCCGTGGTGCGAAGTTTTCAAATGAACACTCTGTATAAAAAACGTCCTTCTACATATCAAGATCACCTTCACCGTTTTAACTGCATCAAATTTGCAAGAAACAAAAGGATATGGGGTTAGAACACATTTGATAATGAAATCCTATCATAGTGCTTAATCTGTTTATTGCATGTAATAATTTCTACAGGTCGATGGATGTAACCACAAACGTAAAAAATAATTCTGTTGTACAAGAGCTCAGTTTGAAAATGAAATACAAAGTTGTTCTCTAGTTATAAGGTAAGTCTGATGCGAGTTATTAAAGCATGATGCATTGCTTTTAACTGTACTAAGCAAAATTGTAGTAGTTTTTTCTTTCATGCCTTACTATACAATATTAAATTACAGTAAACGTGTAAAATACAGGTCATAATGTTTTGATCCTCTAGGAATACGCTCATTTATAATTTGTCATCTGTGATGCATTCATTAATGAAAGTCTTTTGTATGAGAATATCAAGTTAACCCAATATGTTTAATTGTTTTTACCACAAAAAAAACAAAATTTGATTAGTTATAGCTACTAACAATTAAAACTAACAAATTAAAAATTGTTTGTTATCTCATGATAACAAACAATTTTTAATATCATATGACCAATAATTATAAATTGATACTTCAGGATGTTTGTGAGGATGCAGTGTGTTCCCGGCACTATTTCTATCTGTCTTATTATCACAGCTACAAAATCAGTTAAGATACAAAGTATGGAGCTTATTTTCTCAGGATTACAGTGATCAAACAGTGCACCTCGAGATTGTTGTCGCCTTGTGGGAACAAATAAACTTTTGTGTAAACAAATAGAAGAATCAAGATTCAAAAATTTTTTATTTTTTCTATAGGCTATAGAAAAAATAAAAAAAATTTTGAGTCTCGATTCTTCTATTCGTTTATATTTAACATATAACTCAACCTTCTATCAGTGCAAAAACGTAATAATCAATTTCAATCAATCTTTTATTAACCACGTGGCTTGTCCAAATTAACAAGAGACTCAAAATTTGTTTGGTTCATAAACACACCTTAAAATTACAATTAAACCCTAATTTTTCCCAACTTTACCTAAATTACATTTACCCAACACGAATTTAATGTTCATCAAACACCACAGACGAAAATAAACAAAAACGACAAAACTGGTGTAATCTTAACATGCCTTCTTTTTATTGTGGAATTTGGACGTTGACTTTTAATTCTTGGTTGATAATTTTCAGCGCATTTTTTTACTTTTAGAACGATATACACCGACCTTAAATTTGTGAACCAAGAAATTTGACTGACGCAAAACTGGTACCGACATATAATGCCTTATTACACTTTTCACAAACTTCACATTGACGACGGCCAGATGATGGAATTGAATAATTTCAAATACCTTCCTATGCCGTCAAAAGATCAGGAAACGCCGTCATCAAAGCTGAGAATGTCCGAGAGTCCCCTCTTTGTTTGTAACAACTTTTTATAAAAATTCACTAATAATAATAATAATAATGCCTTTATTACGAAATTATATAAAGTAAATAAAATTAAAACGAAAATAATCTAGGCGGAGTTCAACACGTTGACCTGGACGTACAACTGTTCTACCACTCAACCTAGTGTATTATTCATTTCATTATCATGAACAACATGTCTATTTCGCACCGCACCAAAATTAAGCATTTACCAATGTAAACAAGATGTGATTAGTTATTGTCTAACTCATTAACTTGTGTCACGCCTGTTCATTTTATACAAAAATTAAACTAAATAATCTCTAAAAATAAAGAAATTTTACACAAAAAAACATCTGCAAATTTGATCAACTTAAATGTCTTATCAAATTAAATAAAGGCAATAATTTCGCATCAATTTACAATTAAACAAAAACGAACGTGATCATAGACATAAAGAAAATTAGGCGTGTCATCATAATTAAATTTATTTATGTATTAAATTCGTCTTTTCTACGTGCTAAAATGAAATAGTCATACTTTGACCTTTTTGATAAGTACTACACCTTTTTAAAGAGTGTTTCAGAAACCACCACATGCAATTCAGATAGGTAAGTCAATTTAATTTCAGAAAATATTCATTGTAATTCAGATTAGTCAATTGGATTTCAGAAAGTGTTAAATGTGATTCAGAATAGTAAACTAAGCTTTCTGAAATCCAATTAACTAATCTGAAATACAATTAATTATTAACGTCTTCTGAAATATATCTTACGGTTTCTGAAATACACTTGAAAAATGTGTAGTTACACGTTAATGCATCTGTGAACTGAAATAAAATTCCAAGACAGAGCATAATTTAGTCTGCGCAATATAACAGCTTTACATTCAAAGATAAATCTCCGGATGAATGGACATCACCATTGATCGGTCCGGAGACCATTCACTAATGAAGTTTCTATTGTTATTCATTTATCCCCATTCTCCCCCAACGTTTATATTTTGCTCATTATAGTTATTATTTCTAGGAATCTTAGGTACAATTTCTATTATCACAGAACCTCTATGCTTAGGCGCTCCTTTTTATACAGCATTAGGTACTATTCTGTGCAATAAAATACCGACACACTTAAAGAACACTAGCTTGTCCTTCAAGAAAAAAATGCCTAAGTTTGCAAAAAGCAGTTTGGAAAAGGCTAGATAATTGTGAATGAAAGAGAAGCTATTTTTTTATACTTCTCTGTCTCTCCTAGCGTGGTAACACAGCAACTATAGACGCTGTTTCATGGAAACCGCTATTTAAAAGTAGTCAAACTTCATTAATAATTTAAATCTAAAAATTTGCATACCAACATAGTTTTTCATGATCTATCGAAAGAAAATATTTTAATGATCGTTTCACCTCCCGTTTTACCATATGTGGATACCAACTTTGTTATTTCAAATAGAATACCCTGTATTTTATCGCATTTTCAAAATCTTTATGAAATCTACGTCTGATACCAGATTTCCTGATACCCAGCATCCAAGGTTTACAAGTTATTCAAGATTTTTTTAAATCAAAAAACGTCACTAATTTGGAAAAATCTTGAATAACTTGTAAACATTAATTAATAATGGGTATAGGGATGGGTATCAAATGACCTAGATTTTCATGTAGATATCGAGATTGCGATAAAAAGTGTTCTATTTAAAATAAGAAAATTGCTATCCACATCCGGTTAAATCGGAAGTGAAACGAGGGCACGAAGTTATAAATTAAGGTGGACTGCTAATGCTGAATGAACAAATAACACCTACATGGGGGCCGCCATGATGTGCACTCACATGGCGCGAAACTCAAATCAACAAGCATTAACCCAACATTAACCTCACGTTTTCTAAATAAATTACTGTGACACATGTCATTTTCCAAGGCTGCAATAGCCTCAAAACTTGAGTACTAGGAAAATTCCCCTACAAAATAACTAGAATGTGCACATCATGGCGGCGCCCATGCTAGGGCCATTTCTACCTCTATGCAACTGTTTGATCAGCAGTCCATCTTAATTTATAAGTTCGTGAACGAGGGTAATTACATTTTTTTTTCGATAGATCATGAAAAAATATGTTGGTATGCAAATTTTCAAATTTAATGTATCAGTCAGAACCTGAAAACATAACGGTTTCTGTGAACCACCCTGTATAATCACTACCAAATTTTTTACGAAGGGCATTAAGTCCGAAGTAGGCACACTTCGCCTCTATACAGGATGTTTACTTATTTTACATTCTTTTTTTATCATAGTTTATTGTGATAAACTGATTTTTTTTGTTTAGTAAATGTATAGGGGCAGGATGAGGCAAGGGAATTTGTACGACTTTTATTGCAACTTATTTGTAAAAAATATAGTTCTACATGCCGGTCAACTTCCCAAGACACTTCATGTTTTAAAAATTCAGGTTTTGAACCTTGTTGCAATTGGGCCTACAATAGTTCCATGATCCTAGATGGGTTCCTAAACGCACAAAGCCCAGAGAGGTTTTGCAAGGTTACTCTAAAAAATTATGACCACAAAAAATGCGATTTATATATTCAACTTGAAAAGTTCAGTTAAAGGTCTACAAACTAAATTCTAGATCCAATAAATAGTTCTACCATTCTCGTTAGATGTTGATAAAAGTTTACTGGTATTGCCTGATTACAAATATACAGGGTGTCCGAAAAGTATGGAATATCGTATACACTGTGTCCAAGATAAGGATATCTATCATGGGGATCTCCGAAACCATAGAAGACGATAGTCAAATTAGAGAAAAGATGCGCAATTAAGGGGTTGTGTATTATCGTGCTTTAAAAAAAAAACGATATTTGCCCATTTCGTTTTTTTTATGTTATTTGATCAGATACAAAAAAAATCACTTTTTCTTTGCCACTTTTTGAGTTCTGCAAAACACTGTTGAGAGATTTTCAATACAATGTTTCGTTTCGGAGAAATCATCAACTTAAGTTCTTTATATGGCCCATAAAAAAAAGTGCATACTGTACTACGTAGAATTTTTTATATGAATAGAACAATATACGGCACATACAAAAAAACAAAAGTTGGAAACACAGTATTTTTTATTTTTTAATTTTTTTTAAAACAAAAACACAACGAATAAAAATTTCTTTTAATGGCATGACATGACATTCTAGTCTAGTCTAATCACTCATGACCATTTTATGCTTACGTAGATATTGATATCCTCCTTTCTCTATATCCCAGCATAATTAAAATTACAGTATGCTGCCTTTCTGTTTATTTCAAAAGCATATTTCACTCACAAATGGATGTCAACCAATGTAAGTTAGTAACTCTTTACTTCAAGTTCACGCACTAACTTGAGTCTAAGGAGAAATCAATTGTTACAATGTTTGGATGAACATAAAAGGGTCTTGATGGGTTTAAAGAAGTAAATTAATGATCATTGTTGAACATTATTGAAATACACATACGCGCAAAATGGATAATTACAAAGATATACGATATTCCATTCTTTTCGAACACCCTGTGTAATATTGTATGACATTAGTTTCATTCTTTAACGACTTTTTACACTATTACGGATTTTGTTGAAATGGGAAAACAGTTGCGGTGTTCAGAGTCCAAACATTTGCTGTATTGGAATTAAAAATATTTACAGGGGTTTTCAAAATATCGAGCAAAATTGAAAAACTTGTTTTTCGAAAAATTGAATTATCGTCGCCATCTTGAAAAAAATTTATTAAAATTCGGTAGTTTTGTATTAGCCCCCCCTAATCGCATGACGTTCACGAATGTTTCTAGGCCTACTAATTTCGTTACAGTAATTGGGCTCAGAATAGCGCAACTTTTTTCCCATTTAATGAAAATTGTATCGCTTGTTCCATGTATTAGTTTTATATGGGACACCTTGTCTATGGGTCAAGCTTCCCAACAAATTCAAATGAACTGCTTCCATTTGGCAATATAAAGCAGAAATAATGTAACATCAAATTGATACCACATTCTCAACAGACTGTATATAAACAGGTATGCAACTATTGTATGATAGTAAATCCTTACTTTATGGTCTCGTTTTTGGTTTTCGGACCTAAAAAATACCTAAAATATAAACAAAACGATGATTAATATTTACTTTGAGAATTCTCACACATTATTTTAATTGTAATTAATGCCCGTTTAAACGAACATACAATTGGTCACAGACCCGAAACGCGACCCATAAATATTATCAAACTCTAACTTGTAAATCCCTTGTCAATAGTCCATGCGGCATGCAGCTTGGCGTTGCCCTCTGTCTGGAATTACCGAAACTTTCTGCTCTTGGACAAACATCCTGGTCTCTACCCTTAACTAATCTCGATGCTGGATCTCTACAATGTATTTCTTACGATGCAAATTTCTGATTTCCACGAGGTCAATCCACTAATATGTGAATTGCTTTCTTGTTTCTTATCATATCACTAGATTCACAAGCCACCTACTTCGGAAACATGCACAATAATTCTATACTTTGCACGCTACACCTTCATAACCATTACCAACTTATCTGTACAGGGTGGCCCAATAAGGCTGTTCCTCGGCCATATCTCGGAAACCGTTCGTCGTAAAACTTAGGGTCAAAAAATTATTGGGTAAATCGGTTATAAAGAATCGCTGGAAAATATTTTCGAGTTCTAAAAATGACCACCAGAGGGCTTAACTGCCATCTTAAATATTATCCCTGCATTTTCTTTAAATTTCGCATAATAAACTAAACATTCTTTTTTTACATTTTTAAAGAGAACCAGTTTATATATATTGGATGTTATTTGGCTACTTTTTCATAAAGAAAAAGTCATAACATTCCATTTGATTTTTTTAGGATTTTGAATCATAATGTCAAAACTAGCTCCCTGGCGGAGAACGATTCAACTAAATTAAGTATATTTTGATTGATTCTTATTGCCCAGGCAATGCTCTTTTCAACGATACCAAATTTGTTAAAATCGGTCAAACGGTTAAGAAGTTAAAGCAGGTTATTGCGAAAACAATTGAACGCCATCTTTGTTTTTGAAATAACTGAGTTTTTGTTTTTACGAAAATGATAGATAAACTGGTTCTCTTTAAAAATGTGAAAAAAGAATGTTTAGTTTATTATGCGAAATTTAAAGAAAATGCAATTTTAAAATTTAGGATGGCAGTTACGCCCTCTGGTGGTCATTTTTAGAACTTGAAAATATTTTCCAGCGATTCACGCGATTTACTGAATAATTTTTTTACCCCTAAGTCATACGACGAACGGTTCTCGAAAAGGAGGAACAGTCTTATTGGGCCACCCGGTACACAGTATGTTTCTTTTAAAAACAAAACTTATGAACTCTATCATGCCGTGTAATGTCACATATAGAATCATATTTGACGAATTGTTCGTATCTCGCTAAATAAAAGAGATATTGAGGTGACCCTCTTATCTCGAACGCACTGTATATTACTGAATTTTTTCGCCCTTCTTCCCTAACAAAATGGACTCGTTTTGTGCAATTAAAACAGCAGACTTTTATAGGTATTTCTTAAATAAATACGCAATAATAAATGGCATTAAAGAAAAAACTACTAACGTTGCATGTTAATTTACTAAATTAAATGGCGAATCCCCCGTTTATACTTACACACATTCTCACAATTACAGTTACGATTCGCACCATTATGACTCAAGCGCTTACGGAACCAAGTCGGTTACTCAAAATTCAACATTCAGTGACAGTTATAGTCAGCTCGAAAGCCCTGAAAAAGTTAATTCTTTGGATCGCAATAAGAAGAATAGAAATATACTTCTGGGCGAAATAAATTCAATGGATTCTGCTGTTTACGGTGGAACAAACTCGTACAATCAAAGCAACACTTTTGACAAGCATACATATACTTCTTTCTCGGAGCATGCACCCAAATTTGGTTCACTACCTTCCAACCCGAACAAGTATGCGCCTCTAACTTCTCAATATTCTACTGAAAGCCAATACAGGACGTCTACTTTCAAACCAACAGAGACATCAACTGGTCCTACATATCATTCGAGTTACTATTCAAATTCATCTCCAGATCATCGTTTGTGTCCCACAACTATTCCGATGACCAAACCTGTATCTCCAACAGTGAACACATCTCCAAAACCATTCAGCAGTGAGCAATACACCAGCACTTTTAAATACGATCATTTACCTCAAAAATCTGTTAACCAAATCAGTCTCTCTACCTCTAAGCCGAAAGATCAGCCTCTCTCAAGTTTCACGCCAGACCCATACGGAGGCGCGTACACCACCTCGGAGTACTCTACAAACACTTCGAAAATACCTGGAGGTTTCAGAACGGACTCCTACAAATACGAGACATATCACTCGTCATCAAAACCAGTTGACACATTTGGCTCGACAACCGAACGATTCTTCACCAGCTCGCCAAACGATAAGCTCCAATTCAGCCCCATTAAGAAGGACTTCGATCACGTGCTTAAAAACGGATCAAAATCGGACCACCAAAATTCTTTCTCGTCCAGCATGGAGGTCGTTCACGATCCGTCCCTCGATTCCGATTCGCTCGAACAAAAGATGTTAAAAAAATCCGTAAGACAGCAGATTATTGAGAAGAAAACGGTAACGACGACTAGATCAAGTAAACAGGAAAGTTCCACCCAGAATTTCAGATTTGAGTAAGATAATTTTCTTTGTAATTAATATGTAAAAGTTGTATTATTGTGTTCTACTAATGAGATGGTGCTAAAAAAATTTCTTTGTTAATTTGTTAACCAAAAATCTAGTTTAGACTTTAATTCTTGTGCCAATAATTTCATTTTAACGAGTTTTATAATTTATGTAAGAGTATTATAATAGATTTAGTGCCAAAAGTCATAATTTTACTTACTCAGTGTATGTAACCATTTCTATTATCTACACCAGAAATTGCATGCCTTAGTCTAAGTGCTTTTATTGTAATTAATGCATTGTAGGTATGTATTTAAATTAAGTAAGTGCCTAATCTAAATGCTGCCAGCCTTTAATGATCGCCTTCAGTGTGGGGAGTGTTAAGAATAGTATTAAATCAGTAACGTGTTTTGCCTGTGCCTCACTGAAGCAAAAGTGTTTTTTTAATTCGAGTCTTATACTATAGTGCCTGTACTTGAATAATTTTTTAATAAGCTACTTATGTAAGTGTTAAGGAGTGTTGTAATATATATTTTAACTAAGTTTTTAGTGACCTCTAAATAAATTTTTATCACTAATACCAAGAATTTTTTATTCCATCTATTCAATTTCCTTTTTCAAAAGATGATCTAAACAGGTATAAGGCCGGGTAAGGCTTACTGTAATGGAAGAAAGAAGGTTTTTTGCTATATGCTTTCTCAAGGTAGGTTTTTAATTGAATTTAAAGAAAGCAACTAGGTACCTATGTCCTGAAGCCAAGAGTAAATTAAGCTTTTTGTTATGGGAGTATTAAATCTAGCGTCTGTGTGGAGACACCATCAGGAAAGAAATTCAAGATGACGAAATGTGCGTCAAAAGTGATAAGGAAAATTAAATTCAATACGCATGTGGCTTGGCTCCACCCAGCAAACCAAGACCCAAAAGACACGAACCAGCAAGAAAAAACCTGGCATACACACACACAGATACAATAAATGCAATTATTACAATAAACATAATATTGATATATTTTGCAATAACCTTGCACAAATTAGAAAAAATATATTGTCTCAAATATTATGACCAGTGTAGGTAGTAAAAAAAACCTGCACTAAGTATATTATTTATCTTTTAAATATTCCTTATGTAACATTACTCTGTAATTGGCATTGATGGCTGTCATGTGATTTGTGATAATTCCACATCTACGTTTTCCATTTTGTAAATACCTTAAGGAAGGTATATAATACCATTGTAGGTATAAGAGAAGGAACTTTCTAAGCATTGAATTTAGATATAACTCTCGCCAGGAAAGATTGCCGGTCACAGCACACCTTGTGTCAATTTACAATCTATGTTTTTCTTAATATGCGAGCGACTTCCGGAATAGAATCGTGCCAATGTTGAACGAAAAGTCTTTTTGTTCAACACTGACACGATCCTATCCCGGAAGTCGCTCAGATCTTTAGAAAAACATAGATTGTAGACCGGGATCAAGTGTTCTATGACCTGCAATCTTTCCTGGCGAGAGGTTTAGTTATAAATTCAATGATAATACGCTTTTACGTAATTATCTACGCGGGAAATTATGCTTTAATTGGTTAGACATCGGGCCAAACAGCTACATTTTTGAAAAAATAATCTTGCGACTCTAGTGCCCTCGCCATCTATACGTGGTGTCCACAAGTAAAAGACCGTTGGCCTTCTTGTAATACACATATATGTACAATGAAAATACCATTATTTTTATTTTTAACTCGTAGATTCTTTCAGTGTCATAGAGTAAATAAATTATTTACTCTATGGTCGTGCTAACGTTTTGCTGTAAGGTGTATTGCCTAACCGTAGGGGTTTGTCAGTACAAGCATTGAATAACGAAATCATTTTACACTCAACGGTAGGTACAAGCAAAGATCATCTTTGGTATCATCAATGGTACAGGTGGTACAGGCATTGATTATACACACTAACTGTATAATCAATGGTATAGGTTACAAAATCTCAATTTATGAGCAGATTAGCTCTTTTATTAATTGAATCTTTACAGTACATAGAGAAAATACAACTTTCCTCTATGAACGTAGTTAGTTTCCATTCATTTCTCCCGATACGTGTAGGTAGGTATACGCATCTATGCTCAGCACATAATGGGGCCATCACAACTCCAACTCTGTAAATAAAATTAAATTTGGCTTCATTCATTACTTACCTTGTTGTTATTCACTATTTCTGTCAACCAAACCATTTGAAATTCCGTCCACGTAGAGTATGTTCGTGCTAATTTAAGCTATATTTGCCACTGTAACTAATTGTCACGTACAGTATGTTTTTGAATTCTACGTGTTATTGTACGTCTTTTTTATTATATGGTTAATATCCGAAAAACTAGTAGTTTAGATAATTCGATTTGTGAGGAAATTTGGGCATTTGCAAGCGTCAGTACCTATATTGTCAAAATTATTACTTACTTAAATTTTGATTTCGGGTTTCATATCTTTTATCCTGGGTTAAGTAAAAGTCAAATAAATACATCTACAATGAAACATTAAAAAAATAGCTTACAGGGTGTTTTTTTGGTAGGTCCAAAGTTGCAAAACTTCATATTAAAAAATATCACTTTTTTTACATGGAACACCCTGTATATTTTTTTGTCATCTTTTAGCTCTTCCAAAAACCTTCAACTTTTTATAATAATGTCCTATACCTATATCTGATAGTTTTCGAAATATCTTGGTTTTCCTGGTTTTTATAATCTTTATAATTTACATAATAGTGAGGTGGCCAAAAAGGTAACTTTTATCTATCTCGTCCAAAACGAAAATCATATCCATTAATTTATTTTTCAAACAATTTATTTTAAGTCCAAAAACTGGAGCATAAGTAAAAACATTTGACTACAAAGCAAATTGAATTTAACCCCTAATGTCACCCAGTCAGTGATATTAATTTCATTTTTTTTCATATTCATCTCGTTATTGTGTAAATTAGAACTTATTTCAGATTAAAATATAAAAACTAGGAAAACCAAGATATTTGTTTATGTTTTTACTACCTAACAAATTTATTCTCCAGTTTTTGGACTTAATGAATTATATGAATTAATATAATATATCAATTAATAAATATGATTTTAGCTTTGGATGAGGCACATAAAAATTGCCTTTTTTGCATGGCCACCTCGTTATTATGTAAAATATACATATAACTTATTTAAGATTAGAGTATAAAAACCAGAAAAATCAAGATATTTTGAAAAATATCAGAGATAGGTACTTATAGGACATTATTATCAAAAGTTGAAGGTTTTTGGAAGAGCTAAAAGATGACAGAAAAAAATACAGGGTGTTCCATTAAAAAAAGTTAGATTTTTTAATATGAAGTTTTGCAACTTTGGACCTACCAAAAAAACACCCTGTAAGCTATTTTTTTTAATGTTTCATATTAGATGTATTTATTTGACTTTTGCTTAACCCAGGATAAAAGATATAAAACTTCGAATCAAAATTTAAGTAATAATTTTGACAATATACTGACGCTTGCAATTTTTCTTACAAATCGAATTATCTTTAATACTACTAGTTTTTCGGATATTAACTATATAATAAAAAAGACGTACAATTACACGTAGAATTCAAAAATGCATTCAAATACAGGGGGTTCTATTTAAAAAAATGTACCATTTGGGGGCCCTACTTTGTGGGCGCACCCTGTATAATTCCAAATATTTTTAAATCTGTCTAAGGGGTTAGTAATAATTGAAATCCAAAGCCTGATGAATAGGCTGTACCATACCGGTCGTGAATTTCTGGATAGTTCGGAGTTGTTATATGCAAGAAATCTGGAAACATTCTGGTGTGGTTGGTCTGGATTTGTTGGTTAGTTTGAAACCAAGGAAAGGTGCGCTAAAATCTCCTCTGACAAGTCGGATGCTCTCTTTTATATGATTTGGGTGGGTACATCTGGTAAGGTGAGACAAGTTTAGTGGTGACATCTCATACCAAAGAGTACCCACTCTTTGCTCATACTATCTAAACTAAACAGTTTTACTATTATTTAGTATCAAATTCTTGACAGTAGAAGAGACTGTGTGATATTTCTCAAAAACTGTAGGTGCTAGCTAAGAAATCTATTTCTACACCGTATGTCTACGTGAAAATATACAAAAGCTTCACCGTAGCCTTTTAGCGCATTTTCCAACTCATGTTGGATGGCGTTCTTATGGCCACTTTTTGTCCGTTCCAAAGGTCATAACTGCTCCTACAGTTTTCAAGATATTTAGTTCATTCTTTTTGCATTTCGTAGCTTATCGCTCTGGTACATGAGCCAAGAAAAATCTTGACGATTAATTTGCGCATGCGCAAACTGAACAATGTCAACATCTTATTTCTGAACCAAAGATAGTCCTAGTAAATGCAAACATGTCGCATATTTTAATAATTATCAGATGTGGGCATGCGCAAACTGTGCAGTGTTAAATGTCTTATTTATAAGAATATTTGTGCCTTAACTTATTATCCTTTGTATACATATGTGGAAAAATGCGCCAAAGTTACTCGCTTTAATGCGAAAACTTTTTTAAATTTTTTATTTCTTTGGGGATCTAGGATAATTCGCAGTTCATAGCGTAAATAAATCAGTAATTTATACATTGTTCAATTATACACTACTTTCACATTCACCATCCAACTGGAATTTTATGTAAGTTTATGTAATTGTTTAACCACTTATACATTGGTTGGTAATATTGTAGCAATGGATCTGCCGTGATATAAGTCTTCCCTGTTAATATTTGTAGAGTTTCGGTCCAGGGTTGACTTGATCCAAAAGACATCATTTCTCTGGAATAAGAAGTTTTACTTTTAAAAAGGTTGCGTTACTGATTTAATACTCGAGCTTCTTTCCGGATTTTTTAGATCCATATATATCACACAAGTGCAGTGGAATGTACGGGCAATAATTACTCATATTGCCATCTCCATTTTTTCCACAAACTGCCAATTTACATAAACTATTAAACATGTCCACTTGCAAAAAGCCGGCCAAAAAGTATCTACAAAAGATGTTAATATACAAAAGAAGCAATAAATTCCTACCTGATATATGGTGTATTATCTGGAACGTGAAATTTAGCACCGGCATCAAAATATTTTTCCCCTCGAGTTTCTGGAGGACTTACCCCTCGGATTTTGTAATTCAAATCCCAAAACTCTTTATTGTAATTTTCTTGTACTATTCTCCCTTTAAATATATCCCATCTGTATTTGTCGATTATTAAAGAATATGGTAATTCGGGAATTTTGGAAAGAGCCTGTTGCAAAAGTAAGAAGTCCCCTAAGCCAGTGTTAAATAGCTGATCGTCTGTTATGAGACCGAGTCGATAAAGGTGCTGAGGTACCATAACGCCGTTCATTATCGCATCGCCTATGCTTTCATGGAATGCGGAGCTTGAGCCGTCCTAATAATTTATTTATATAACTAGAGTATAACGCAAAATAAGTTGTAAATGACTCATCTATACAGTGCGTAACAGATACATTCATTTTTATCTAAGTTTTAACATTTAAATGAGTAGTACTGCTCGTAGCAATTCGATTGATAGATTTTTTATTCTGAATACTCCAAAAAATTTTGATGAAAATTGTCAGGCGCTCTCTTCCTGAATACTAGACACTAGAAAAGGATGCCATGTAATCTTTTGAAATAAATGTTTGACATCTGTTAAGCTTTTAAATTTTGAACAATTATAAATGGCATGATAAATGATTTATGCGAGTTTGTTAAGTTTACATACTTACAGAAATTTGTTATCAAATGTCTATCAAATTTTTACATGTAAAATTTACAAATCCACATAAATAAAAAGAAACTTAAAAATTCAAGTTACCTGAAAGATCGCAGGTTGATTTTGATACGCCATGTAGTACTCTATGTGCCCCATTTCGTGGTCTACGATATAAAAATCCTCCATTGTTACCTTTGCGCAAAGTAACATTCTAAAATTAAAAAATGGAAATTAGTATCTTCATATCTGTGGGATGTAATAAATGCAAACATCTGAAATTTGGTAGTGAAATCTCTATCATCCAATAGCACCGGATTTCGCATTGACATTGACTAATAAAGTTTCATGTTTAGTTAATTTGTATCGTTTTCAAAGACGCTGTTAGGCCGCCCCTGGAAAATGGGTGCGATATTTACCCTTCAAATAATGACATCGGAGAGTTATGTACTTTGCAGTTTGAACTTTACTCGGCGATTTTAACCCCCGCATTTATGTGTACTGAATAATATTATGTCATTGATAGCGTATGCTGAACACTCATGACCAAAACAAGCGATAGCCATATAGGGTTATTCTAAATTAGCTCCATGTATAATTCCATAAGACTAAATTCGGGTGCATTCAAAGTTATCTCGCTCTCTCATGACGAGGAAATTCAAAGGTCGCTCACCGTTCAAAGTCCAAACGTTGCTCGTCGTTCAAAGTCTTTGGATTTTGGTCGGTCGTTCAAAGTTCACAGTTTGGTCAACCTACAAAGTCCTAAGTTTGCTCGCCGCTCAAAGTAGAAAGGTTGTTCGCCGTTTAAGACCTCCATTTTACGGTGTTATATCTCATTTGTAAGGTACCTAACCAGAAGTCAAGAGGTCAATGATCCCAGATTTGCGGTGTAATATTTCATTTTGAAGGATATCATAGTTCAATAACCTTATTTCTTCTGGCGGCATATTCCCTTTTTTAAGATTATGAAAGTTCAATGTTCCCAATTTTTTGCAAGGACAATACTCAATTTTGGTGAACCATTTGGGGTCGATCCCAACTCAGCTACAGTACAATCCCATAAGACGATTTTTTAGTATCAATGTCATTTGAAGGTGAGTTTACAAGCTAAATAGAGCCTACGACATTGAAAACCAAATAAAGGACAGCATTATTATGTTAGTGTTACTGAAATCGTTTTATTAATAAAAAATCGCGTCCACCTTTTTTCAATGACCCTGTATATTGACGAAATGGTTATTTGCGCTGTCATAATTGTAATCAGCACAGACTACAGCTTCTTAAAATATTACAATGTCTTTCAACTATAGTTCGATAGCGCGCGAAAGGCTTATGGAAAACAGTTCAAAGTATACCTTCTTTCAGAAAGAGAGTCGGTTTGCTCAACATACAGTACATACCCAATCACATTTTAATGTTTTCAAATAGTACAAGTTGAATTTCTTACAATGTTCTCCCTCTCCCTCTCAGAGAAGGTATACTTTTAATTGTTTTTTAGAAGGTATACTTTCAATTGTTTTTTAATATCTTAAGCCTTTCGGACACTATTGAACTAGTTGTACCTAAGCAATTGTCTTATTTTAAGAAGCTGTAATCTGTGCTGAAAGGACGACCAACCTTTGGACTTTGAACGGCGTGCAATCTTTGAACTTTACACCAACCTCTGGACTTTGAACGACAACCAACCTTTGGACTTTAAGTGGCGAGCAAACTTTGGACTTTGAAACGAAGATCACCACATCGTTAACTTTTGAGACTTCTATTTAGTTTTGAAAGTCATCGTCAGGAGGAGAGTGAAATATCTTTGACGGCACCTGAATTTCAGTTCATGGAATTTTACATAGAGTAGAGTTAGAATATCTATATTATCCCTATATGACTATCACTTGCTTTTGTTCACGACTGCTCAGTATACGCGATCCATGACATGATTAACATTTTTCGATATACCTGAATCTAAGGGCTTTATAATCGCTAATCCCACCAAAGTTGAAATTTGAGGCCAATGACAACACACACTCATCCTGCGCTCGCGTCCTTCCCACAAATCGTTATCTTTATTTGGATTTCAGTGTTCTAGGGTCATTAACATTTAGACCTCTATTTAGATTTTTAGGTAACCTTCCAATGACATTGACACTAGACAATCGTCTTATGGGATTTTACATAAGGCTGAGTTAATATCGACCCCATATAGTTCACAAAAATTGAGTATTAGATAAATATGACACCACAAAAAATTGAGGACATTGGCCTTTGATGATCTAAAAAAATATTATGACACCGCAAGAAATAAGGTCATTCAACTTTGATAACCTTGAAAATGAAATATGACACCACAAAACTGGGGTCATTGATCTCTGGTTTCTTTAAAAATGAAATATGACACCGCAAAATGGGGTCTTGAACGCGACTGACCTTTGTACTATGAGCGCCGAGCAAACTTTTGAACTTTGATGGTCGACCAATCTTTGAACTTTCAACGGTCACCAATCTTTGGATTTTGGACAAACAACACTGATCCAGGGATACCTATCGGTACATCAAAAATTCAGAGAGAGGTCGAGGAAGAGGGAGAGGGTGGGGGAGGGGAGGGGGAGAGGGATAGGAAGAGGGTAATGACCTAACGGGCCTCTGTGTTTCACCCTGACCGACTTTCTAAAGTCATACCCAAATGCCGAATGACCTTTGAACTTCGCCTTCACCTATGTGGCACCGCAAAAAAAGGGGTCGTTGACTTTGGGTAACCTTGAAAGTGAAATATGACAACACAAAAATAAAGTCGTTCACCTTCGGCGACCTTAAAGAAAAGATTACCTGAAATCATCACGTTCGTACAAATTAGCTGCGGTTCCATGGCAAACCGACATATTGGAATTTTCTTGAAACTTTGAATATTTCCAAAATTTCTCTGTCATTTTTGGTAAGCCCAACGAAGTGTACATATCTTCTGCTCTTAAAACCTGCGTAACCGTATTAGACCGGAGTGAGACACGATTTAGTTTACCATGTCTATTACTGTCCAGTTCTTCTGCATTAAATTGGTTTCTAGATTTACTTTCATAGTTCCGAAATCGAACAGGTTTATTAACTGCGACCAATCTTGTCCCCACATATTTCCTGTAAATAAAGAGAAACGTATTTTTGTGTAAGCACTGTGTTCGCATACCTAGCAAGTGTATTGGAATCGGACCTTTTGGATCCACGATGGTCGAACCATATTTTTGAAAGAGCTTGTGGCGTACAACTGCATGCAACAACATGTATAGGGGCTTAATTTGATCGTACAACTTAAACACTTTACTCTCCAAATTTGAAATTTCCAATTCCTCCTGCCATACTTCAGCCATACTGTTGTATCCTAAAATTTTCGACTACGAGTTAGTAAACATGCGAAATTACATATCTTACCATTTCCTTGCGCAGCCATATTCTGCAATTTAACAGCGACTGGATACAGTGATCCGATCTTAGGACCTACAAAATTGTGCCAAGTGGTCCATATCCACTTCAGCTGCTCGGCACTTAGATCCGTTCGTTTAATGAGCCATTCCAAATCAGGCTCCCCATAAACGCACTGTCCTGAAATATTAAGGGCGCGTAGCATTTCAGAATCAGAGCGGTTGAAGCATATTTCTGAATTGTAGTTTTGTGCCAATCGTCCCATTATATCCATATATGATCTACAATTATTTTTAATAATGTAAACGGAATAAACAATCAGGTAGGAATTGAGTATCGCTAGTTCTACTAGGGAAAACCATTTTACTTCAGGTTAATCAACTTGAAGTAAAGGTATTAAATTTTGTTGCGTTTCTCGATTTAAAAGTGTAGAACGCCATAAAATAATTACAATTAACCTGGACAACTCCTCAGAAAATCGCGGACCTCTACAAAGCAAATACATCATCCGGCTCGCATTAGGCGCCAGCCAATATTTTCTTACCCGGGAGTCGCACACCTTATTTTTCCACTTGTTGCGTACGACTCCCAGTTCCATAGCTCGATTGGATGTTGTTTCATCGGGAGCGGTGGCTAATTTCCATGTTAGCGACGCAGCAACCGAATTAAAATCTGATAAATCCATATTAACTTCTCTTAGCCAGACGCTTACGCTCTTCCGATACATTTCTAGGACAAAAACAAACTTTTAAATGTTTATTTGCGTATTACTTGTAGGTATTGAACTTTTGGAAATGAAACGGTTTTTTTCAATTTATGGAATTGAATTTAGCCCATCCAATAATCATGCAATCATGACAAGGCCGCCGTAGTGCAATAACAGAGCTCTCGCTTGATGTGAGAATTCCAAGTAACAATTGGTAACAATGGACCACCGAATTTGGAAATTCTAGCCCATAATTAATCATGAATTTTAAGACTACTCCCAGATTTTTATGATGACCAGAAGCAGAGAAATTAATTAAAGAAGTTTTAATTTTCGAGCACTTTGATATTAGTTAGTTGGGATTTCCAGCTTGCTTTAGGAAAGAATCCTTTGATGTTTTGTCATTTTTCATAGTGTGCATTTAAGCGTTAGTAAATCTTTATCTACCGTACCGTTTGATTTCAAGGCGTGTGTAATATTTATCTTTCGGTTGATCATAATGGTGGTTTTGCTTTGCTTTCCTGCGTCTTGTTTCCCAGTAGATACCGTTAATTATTCCGTTCTCGCTACCGTTTCCGCGTGCCGTAATTTTGTTTTAGATTATTTGCTAGTGACCGCCGGACCCCTGGAGCTTCTCCGTTTCTCCTCTTGGTTTCCAAATTTCCGACACCGTGTCCGACCGTTCTTGACCAGGAGCAAGGATCGATCCTGATGGCGCTCGAGATAAACTGTACCGTTCCAATTAGACTTTCGCACCGTCCTGCGATGTGCTTGTTTGTGGTAAAAATCACAATAAATTCGTTAAGCCGCTTGTGAGCAAGAGGCGAAGAGCGCACTTTCAAATTTATTTTTTCAATTTTAATAGCCCTTATGGACATTTCATGCCTTAACGAGAATAAAAACATGAAATAATTTTTAATTTCTGATCGAATGACACCAATACCAAGTCTGTAAGTGGTGTGGTTCCGTAGCCTTTGTAACTCAGACAGACAGCAGACATCAAGAGCGCAAAAGTGCACTTTTTATTTTTTGAAAGTGAAAGTCCACTCAAACTATCTCTATTAATAAGAAAGTTGACATTATGCAGTCTGCGTATGCACACATTAATCGTCAAAAACTAAATATCGTGATAACTATAGGAATCGTTAAGGCCTCGGACGGATGGAGAAAGGGACCATAATAGCGCGTTCCAACATGAGTTGGAAAATGCGCTACAAAATTGATCTCCAGAGACCCCATCCGGGCCCATCTTCAAGGTTCTTGTGTAGTAAAGGGGAAGCAACCCGTCGGTACGCTTAACCAATATGCACACTGCAAGACGAGCAAGCCTAATGGCCAATTACGTTTTCGAGCGAGGTGAGGTACCAAGATAAATTTGGTGACATTTATCAAACACGTGCTGAGTACTAGATATACAACGAGTCATTTATAATTAACGTTGGTAGGTCCCAAAATTTGCTTTTAAAATGTTTTACGGTTCCCTCCCATCGTCCGCCCCTTTCTGACCATGTCGACTGCTTTTTACTGGAAGGCGCTATTGAATAGCTTAATTCATTATATCTTGAACAAGTATAAGTAAATAAAGAGAACTAGGTAAGTAAGGAACTTTTATAATAATGGAGAGTTTAAAATGTAAGCAAGCAATTGCAACCGTGGATCAGTTGTTGAAAAACGGAAAGTAATTTAATGATACTAACCAATTTTTTGTTGGGACTCTGAACGTACGACGTTTAGATAAAATGCGACCACTACCAGGACTAACACCAAATTACACTTGGCCACGTACTTCACTGTAATTCTTTGAACTTCCATGCTCAAATGAAAAAGCGCAAATGAAACTGAATATTTTCCTCGATTAGGTCAAACTTTTATATCTCCGTACGAAAGGCTCGATCATGCGCTTCTATTTGTTTTTCATTAAATGCAGGTGTGTTAACAACTTCCTATCAGGTTACTCTCAGGCAAACTAAATCGTAAAAAACTTGAGCAATTACAATTTCGATTTTAAAAAAGAGGTTAACTAGCAACCTGTAAAATAAAGGGAGGGTATATTTTCATTAATTATTAAATAGCATAACTTTATTGAATTCAGAAGCTGCAGAGCTTCCTAATAATCAACAAATAACGTATTAATGAAGTTCTACAGAACCTTGAGTTGACAAATCCGTTTCCCTTTAGTCGTTTAAGTAGGAACTTTTGAAGACAAAGTAAAATTCAGAACTTATGGGTAAATAACGTTTGTTGTTAAAAGCTTTGTATAATAGTTAGACCATCAACAGTATAACTTGGTATACAAATATATTCTCTTCCTACGAAAAAATTTAAAATTAACGTTAGATACTTAAATTAAATAAACATTCACGCATGTTAAAACAAACAATGGTGTTTATTATAAAGCATTGTTATAAGGCTGAAGAAGATAAGGCATAGTATGCCTTATGAAAGCAATATTCTTAAACAGTATAAATTCTCGCAAATGATTTTGTCGACGTAGAGATGAAAAGTTGTACAACGAAAAGCGCAATGAATTTTACCCAAAATCGTCTTGAAACCTTCATTTTCATGCCTACTTTATGTCAGGAAGTGATAGTTTCCATGACAGAGGCAGACAAGACTGACTCACGCCGGCGCGGCGTGCTTGGAGAAAGGAACAAGTATAAATTGTTTCTTGGTAGATGATTAATAAAGATAAATACATAAACATTTAAAGGCCGCCTGGCATACATTCAAAATCCTCCGTTACTCCATTCCGTAGATATTTGCACTGAAAGCTTTGAGATGTCTCGTCCTCACGTTCCACTTGCCTTTTTGAGTACCCTCTTCCGACACTTCGTTGTCAAGGTATTTGCTTCGACTTCACCAATAGATATGTGTCGTCCAGTCGATTAATTTTGTCTTTGAAAGTACTTTCCTCCGACAAACCGTTTTCCAGATATTCACTCTGAAAGTTTTAACATCAATGGATATAGACGTTTCAATTGCCCTTTGTGAGGACCCTCTTCCAAGAATCTGTTCTTGAGCTATAAGGAATTATTTATATCACGATAAGGAGTCGAGGAGGAGGTTGAGACCTTTCATTATAGTACCATGATGGATAAAACCAGTCCCCCCCCCCCTTTGATAAGGAATCAGAAAGTATAATACCCCACACGCAGCCGGTCGACAATTAAAAATTGAAAAAATCTTTAATTACAGTTTTTTAATAATCCAAATAACCTGGTCGTACAAGATTTGCGATAAAGGTGCACTTAACAAAAACACAAAAGCAATCACTCACAGCTTCAGGCAACTTCACCCCTTCTTTAATAAACTGAACTCAATGACTCGAACTGGCTTGATAGATAAGATAAACATTTTCGGTGGCTGCTAGGAGGGTAGAAACTTGACTTTCATAACTGCCTTGTTTATTTGCACTCAAACTAACGTTTTCTGATTCGTTTTTAAAACTTTTCACAACCTTTTACTACTTCATTTGACGATAACTTTAACCTTTTATTAAGATTGGCGACCTGAGGAATTCCAATTAACAATAGGTGTCAATTGGTCTACCGACTTTACAAATTGCAATCCGGCCAATGAACTAAATGCAATTAATAGTAGCTAAATAAGTTGCAGTGAACAGGTCTCAAAAGAAGCGTTCTTAATTAATTTGATTTGAATTTTAAGACCAATTACAGATTTTTACGTCGTCAGCAGGCCGCACAATTTAGAATGCAGTTTTAATTTTTGGACAGTATTAACCGAATACTCCGGCCGGTCCGGAATTTCCTACGAACGTATTTTGTATTTTGGGGAATTTATATAAGATAAACACTTACTTTAGAGGGGATCTTTTTTGTCTTTTGCATCTTCGCAAGTGACGTTTCGTAAGTAACGTAACTTTGAACTTTTGCGTAAATTTATTTTGCATTCATACCGTTTAATTTTTGCTTTTACATTAAGTAGCAGTAGGAGCGTGTCCTCTACAGCTTTTGCGTTTTCTGGCATAGTAATTTCTACAGCTCCATTTTAATGCAAGGTAAGCTTTTTGAAACTTCCTGTTTCAGTAATTATAGGGGGGATATTGTTTCGCTTTCCTGCATTTGATTTCCCGTAGACACCGCTAATTTGGGTCTTATTGCATTCCCGCTAGTAAGTTTGTCGCTATTTTGTTTTAGTTTTTCCGAAGTGACCGCGATTACTCTGATTCGGTTTACCTGAGGCTTCCGAGACCGTCCCGCAAACCACTGCTACGCCGACCTTACCATGGTACCCCTTGGTGGCACCCGAGTCCGTCCGTTACGCCGACAGCACATCCAGGTCATCGCCGACTTCCACTACTATCGTCCGCTCACATGATTTAGTTACTATAATTTGTAAATTTATTTATTTTTCTTTTAAATTAAATTGTAATCATTATTCGGCTAACGCATATTTCATTTTTCATGCCATTTGTGCGCAGATTTACTACCGAAGTTCGTCCCTGGAAAACTAATAGTCGCAACAGCCTCGTTTTTAAGTCGATTCCAGTATTTAAAAGAACACCACTTCATATCGTGCATATCGTAAAACACCTGCGATAAGAAAACGTGCGTTAATTAAATTTCGTCTGATAAAAACTCCTTGTCGCAAAAGACGAGGTCCCTATATACGTTTAGGAATTAAATACACAAATCTAAATAATCAATTTACAAAAGCGATACAATTTGAACAAGAATTACGCAGTTACAAACAATTCCAAAAGGAAAACAACACTGAGACACAAATTCAAATACCATAAACCAACTCTGTGCTTATTCGTAGATAATTTAATAAAATATTCTCATATACATGGTTTCCAGTCGTTATTTTCGGTGTTTAGACCGAAATAATGAGGTTGTTTACACAACAATACCAATTACATTAATAACATAATGCTATTTTTTTAATATAACGAAAAATTTCTCTATTGCAAGAAAAGTACATTTATTAAGTAAATCGAGTATTGCGAGCAACTACTTATCAAAAAGCTCAAAAAATGCAGTCGCTTGTTTTGCGGAGGATGGCGTGGAAGACCTTTCAAAAATCTTTTCATATAAAGTCAAGGAAAGATATGTGGGACATCCTGTACATACAAGTTCTTTTTTTATTTTGCACACATTTTTGGCATTCATGAATCTCGTGTTTTTTTTTATTTTTCTTTAAATGACATATCATACATAGAACATGCTGCAAAGATACCAACGTATATTGGGTTTTTCAACAATTTCAATTTTGTTGAATAGTAAGGGTCATGTTCCTTTATGACTTATAAGAATGTCATTGACGAAGGTAAATAGAATTTAGTTTACAAACAAAACCGTTTTCAGAAGGACGCTTATTTCGCATTTAGTCGATTTCTTTGGCCCATCATTTTGTTGTTAAAGATAATTCATTTCTAAACTGGCGTTGTGTGTATTAATATAGGATGTTCCGAAAATTTTTTATAAAAATGTTTTTCTCATACTTTTCAATGATAAAAGGTACAAATTCAGTTACAATTCCGGTTTCTACGTTCTGGAAAAAACCTCAGATACATCGATTAGTAACGTGAATTTAATTATGTGATGTATTTATTTACAATTAATTAAGAATAAATTCATAACAATCTTGAAATGGAATAGTCTATAATAATAATTATTATTTATCAGTCACAATTTATAACATAACACGGCCGGGAGCTTAATACTTCACTTCGCATCGATGTTAGATGTAGAATATTAACGTGCATTTAGTGATCCTTGTCAGCAACACATTAAATAATGGGTTATTTGGTCGATGTATCGATGTCAAATTACAAATTGATTGTTTAAGTGTAATTAATTAGGTACCTACTTGATAGCTAGTAGGCGTTCAATCATTTTTGAGAGTAGCATATGCTGACACACATTTCAATTACCTTTCATGAGATTAATTAATTAGATATGAATAAATATAATCTAGCTTATCCAGATAGAATAATTCAATAATACAGCTTATTCATATTGGGCACGTAGCAATATGAATACCGATAGGCATTTGGAAAAAAATATTCGTAATAGATGGAATATATAAGCTCACCAATTCTTAGGAAAGTTACACGTTTGTAATTACACTTATACTTTCTACACTTTTGATGCTTTTCCGATAATTATGTTAAGTTTAATGAGCTTTTGATGTTAACTGTCAGTCATATTAGAATTATAAAGGGTAAATGTGATGTTTTAACATATTAGAGTTCCTAAAAATAAACTGTAAGAAAATAGTGTATAAGTAGGTACATAATATGTTATAACGTCTAATATTTTTATATGATAGAAGGTTGAAATAAGTTTTAACAATATTAAATATCCTGAAATATTTTGCCCTTCTTGCGTCATGTAGCGTCCCAATTGCTACCTACATTCTATTCCACAGTATTTGTACTTAGACACGCCATACAAACCCAGACTCCCTTTAATGCGTAACGGTTACAAGTGTTCCAGAATTTCCGTTGTTGACAAACGTAATTTGCATTATCCCTAGTGTTCAATCCAGCAAGCCTAGTTGGGGTAGTTGGTTGGAAATAAGAACAAAGTAGCTTTTCACGATTTTTCCTTTATTAGCACCTTACACTGTATTATATTTAGTGGACTGATTCCTTACAACTGGTGCTTACTGATCTCAAAAACTCGTCAAAATAAGAAAAAAATGCAAATATGTGCGTGGTCTAAAGGAAGCCATTTTTGTTATACAGGGTGGCAAAGTTTCAATTTTGTTCTCGTATTTTGCGTTTTCTCTCTTATGTTCTGGGATAATTGTTACAAATTTGATAGATCAATTATTTTT